TATTTGCCCAAGAGATGGGAGCCCACCTGGTACTCAACCGCGTCTGCTCTCAGACCCTCCCAGCGCAGGGCTGTGCCTCCCCATCAGACACCCGGGGCAGGACTCTGCCTCCTCCCTCAGACCTCTAATCGTTGGGCTGCGTCCCACCCTCAAAGTCCCCAGGGCAGAGTCCCTGGCCCCTCAGGCCTCCAGAACTGAAGCTCCCCAGGGCAGGGCCCTCTTCCCTGAGTCCCCTGACCTGGGAAGGGGGCAGGCACGTGCAGGACCTGGGCCATCTTCTTGTCTACAGATGCTCCTTGGAAGTCACTTGAGGGACTGCGAGTCAGACTGCCTGCAGCACTGACTGAGGCTTACCTGGGGAAAGGGAACCATGGCACCGGGAGTTAGGAGTCTGTAGGGGGAGGGAAGGAGATGGGGCCAGTCCCCTCCACTTCTGGCTCACCCAACCCCCCACCCAGGTCTGGGACCCACTCATAGACGCACACCCGGCCCGGCTGCGGAAGGGCTCCCCCCGCACCGCAGGTCTGGAACAAAGAAACCAAACCTCACTGCCTGCATGAACATCTGTCCAGCCCCTGGACAGGCTCCAGCTGTTCCCACAGCCCGGCCTCCACATAGCTCTGGGGCTGGGGGGCCCCAAGCCCAACAGGCCCCACCCTTCCTGCATCCCCTCCCCTCAGCCCAGGCCTGGAGCTGGCCACAGGGAAGGATGGGGGTTGAGGCGCTAAGGGGTTGGGGAAAACGGGAACCTCATCTTCCTGCAAGGATCTGAGGAGACAGAGATGGAGGGGAACAAAGAGAAGCAAAGCATGGCGAAGGGGACACCCAGTGACCCCAAAGCTGACAGCTGGGTCAGGCCTGGACTAGGTAGGGGGGAAGGGGTAGGGAAAGTTGGGGAGGCAGCTAGGAGTGAAGCCTTTCCCCTTTATGGAAACAATTTTCTCTAAAAATAAACAGTTTCACTGCTGGGCTACACAGAACTTCCTGCCTGCCTAGGATGCGTCCGGGCTTAGGGGCGCAGTAGGGATAAAGGGCCGGGTGGAGGCCCAGGAAGTCCTGGGGGTGGAGGGGAGGAAGTAAGACGGGGCGCCTGGAGGCTGCAAAAGGGAGGGACAATCAGAGCCTCTCACTAAACCCCCCTCAGCCCTGGAGGCTGGCCAGGGCTCTTTTGTCCCCAGTATAACCCGTCTGAACTTGGCCGGTCCTTTCTGTTATCTGACCTCCAGCCATCATGCTGCAGAGGCCCCAGCCCATCCCACCATCAGTGAATCCTTTCTGGCCTTTGAGTGCGGGGGCAGCAGGTACCTTGGGAGGATGGGCCAGGTAGGGCACCTGCTGGGCATGAAGGCAGGGCTGGGGCTCCGGGGCACCTGAGCTTGTCCTTGTTCTCCTGTCCTGTCTTGCTTTGTCTCTCTCCAGGTCTCTCTGTGTCTCTCCACGTCTCTGTCTCTCTGTGTGTCTCTCCACGTCTCTGTCCTTCTACGTCTCTCTCCGTGTCTTTCTCTCTGTCTTTCCACGTTTCTGTCTTCGCTTCTCTGTCTTTCAACACCTGGAACACATGGTCACCAATTGCAGGAAATTTGGTTTTCCATTTGCCTGGAGACTCGCCCCTGAGCAACAGGAAGTTGATTGAAAATATTTTCTGGCCACCAAAGAGAGATGGAGATACAGGGAGCAAGTGGGATTAGAGCAGGATTGGAATAGTCAGGGGGAGAGGGGGTCAGGGGAGTGAGGGTGCTGCCAGGCAAATAGTATAGTAACAGTAATAATAACACCAACTCTTTTTTTTTTTTCTTCCTGAGACGGAGTTTTGCTCTTGTTGCCCAGGCTGGAGTGCAATGGCATGATATTGGCTCACCACAACCTCCAGCTCCCAGGTTCAAGCAATTCTCCTGCCTCAGCCTCCTGAGTAGCTGGGATTACAGGCATGTGCCACCATATCTGGCTAATTTTGTATTTTTGGTAGAGATGGGGTTTCTCCACGTTAGTCAGGCTGGTCTCGAACTCCTGACCTCAGATGATCCACCCACCTCAGCCTCCCAAAGTGCTGGGATTACAGGCATGAACTACCGCACCCAGCCTAACATCAACTCTTTTAATTGTCGTGACAATTCCATGAGATGGGCAGTTATCCCGTTTCACAGACAGGGGATGCAGAGGGCACAGAAAGGTACAGTGGCTTGCCTAGGATCCTTGGGGCCACGGGGAAGTAGCTGGGCCTGAACGTGAACCTAAGGCTGGTGGATCCCGCCAATGCCCACCAAGTCACCACCCCCAGACTCCACACCAGATATCTCTACCCGTTTCCCAGATATGAAGACTGAGGTCTGAGGGTCCTCAGTCATCTGACCGCCCTCGATCAGGACCAGCGACTCCCGAGTAAGGGGAAGAGAAAGGAGATGAGGGGGTGTGGTGGGGGAGATGGATGTCTGTGGCTGAAACCCTTCTCTCGCTATGGGACCCCTGGGGAGTGGGGAAGGGGTGACAGGATAAGACACAGATGGAGAGACTGGAGCCTACAAGAGGGGACAGGTAGGGAGTTCAGGGAAGGGGCGCGGGTCTCCCCAACCCACCACCCAAGACCGGCCTGCACATCTTGGAGGTGGCGGGGGCGCGGGGGGTCTTTCCGCCCTAAACTCGGGGGGTTGGGGGGCGGCGAGAAGGACCCCGCCCCATGCAGGGAGGGGGCGGGGCCTGTGGATCCCCGGCTAATGGCAAACAGCTGCCGCTCCCCACGCCGGCCCAGCCGCCAAGCCCAGGCCCAGCCCGGCCGGACGCCCGGCCGCCTTCCCGCCGCCTGGGGCATGGCCGCGGAGGAGGGTGAGGGGGGACAGTGCGGGGAGGGGGCAGAGCCGGGCGGGAAGCAGAGGCAGAAAGGGGGACACAGACAGGGGAGAGGGGGCAGAGGGGAGCCAGGACAGGGGAGACGGGCAGGGCACGAGGAATCGATGGGGGTACTGGGAGGAATCGATGAGGGTATGGGGTCATAGACGGGGAGGGAGCAGGGACGCGGGGGCAGAGACAGTACAAGTCTGGAAAGTTTGGGCATAGAAGGTGGAGTTGGAGGCAGCGGCTCGTTGAGACCAGCGAAGTCGTGTCCCGGGGTTGGAGGCGGGGGGTAGGGTAGTAGGTGGGGGGGCGGTGCACACTCGATCCCCGAACCGGACTTGAACCCCTACCCAGCCCCGGGTCCCACTCGCCTTGCGCGCTCCGGCCGCTGCCTTCCCTGCGTCCCGCCGCCCGAGCGTCCTCGCGCGCGCCGCCGCCTGGGCGCCCGGCCCTCGGAGGTGGCTCCGCCCGCACTACGCCCCCTCCTGCTGGCCCCGCCCCTCCAGTCGGCCCCGCCCCCTCCCGCCGCCAGGGCGCCCAGGCCGCGGTGGGGGGGTGGGGATGCAGAGACGCTAGTTGGAGACTGGATCTCACCTGGAGAGCAGGTGTGTGTGTGCGCGCCGGGCTGTCCGGCCTCGTCCTTCCTCCCTCCTTAAGTCCCCAAAGCAGGGTCCCCCCCCGCCGGCCTCCCCCCACCGCCGGCTGTCCCTGGGCCGCTGCGGGGGGCGGAACGGCTCGGCGGCAGGAGGGGGTGGAGCTGGCCGGGGCCCAGCTAGGGGAGGGCGCGCGGGGGGGCGCGGCGGCGGGAGGTCACCCCTCCCCCAGGCGGCCCAGGGCTGGACGCGGCCCAGCGCAAGCCTGGCACACGGTGGCGTGACCGCCGCGCGAGAGGGGAGGCTGCACAGGCCTGGGCGCCGGAGCCAGCCAGACCTGGACTCCCATCCCAGACCCACCAAACTTGCTGCTCTGTGCCTCAGTTTGCCCATCTGTAAAATGGAGATGATCATGTTAGCTACCTGATAGGAGTGTTGAGAAGATTCACTAACCATTGGGAAGGGGCCTAACCATTAGGAAGGAGGTCCCTCGGGTTAAAAAGTCTCATAAATGGAGTGTCCTACTTTTGCAGAGATCTTTCTAGGAGCCCTTTAGTACACAGCCAGCCACTCAGCAAGGGCTTAATAAATATTATTAGGCCGGTGAGGTGGCTCACACCTATAATCTCAGCACTTAGGGAGGCCGAGGCAGGAGGACTGCTTGAGCTCAGGAGTTCCAGACCAGCCTGGGCAACATAGCAAGACCCTGTCTCTACAAGAAAAATTTTTAAGTGAAAAAAAATTAGGCCACGCGCAGTGGCTCAGGCCTGTAACTGCAGCACTTTGGGAGGGCAAGGTGGGCGGATTATTTGAGCCAAGGAGTTGGAGACCAGCTTTGGCAATGTGACAAGGCCCCATGTCTGCAAAAAACAAAATAAAAAGAAACCACCTGGGGCCGAGAAATGGCTCACACCTGTAATCCCAGCACTTAGGGAGGCTGAGGCGGGTGGATCACCTGAGGTCAGGAGTTCAAGACCAGCCTGGCCAACATGGTGAAACCCCGTCTCTATTAAAAATACAAAAACTATCCCGAGCATGGTGGTGCACATATATAATCCCAGCTACTCGGGAGGCTGAGGTAGGAGAATAACTTGAATCTGGGAGGTGGAGGTTGCTGTGAACCGAGATTGCGCCACTGCACTGCAGCCTGGGTGACAGAGCGAAACTCCGTATGAAAAAGAAAAAGAAAAGCCAGGCATAGTGGCATGTGCCTATGATCCCTGCTACTCAGGAGGCTTGAGCCCCGGAGTTTGAGGCTGCAGTGAGCTATGATTGTGACACTGCATTCCAGCCTGGGGGACTGAGAGAGAGCCTGTCTGTTAAAAACAAAGAAACAAGAACCAGGTATTATTATTCCCGGTAGGCATGTGACATTATTTGTGTGTTGCCTTCCCCGCTGGAACGTCAGCTCCACAAGGGCAGGAATTTGTGTCTGTTGTCACCATGATGTCCCTGGCACCCAGTACGTTCTTGGTGTCTCCAGTGATGATGCAGGGATGTGTGGATGTGGGGCAGTGGACTGTGAGCATGTCATGAGCATGTGACCCAGCCCCTAGTGACTGCACCACATGGCACAGGTTGCTTATAAAAACCATTTTAAATTAAAAAAGGGAGGAAGCATCAGTGCATACAGATGGGGACACAGGGGCAAAGGGCCCAGCACCAAGTACAATGTGGTCACCCCATAGCCCAGTGGGCACCAGGGGAGACTCCCCTCGCAGCACAGATAGCTGAGGGCCGGGTGCTGGTTCTTCTAGGTGCAGCTTTGGTCCTTGTGGGCTCAGAGGTCTGCCTTTCGAAAACTTGCTCTGTTCAAGGAGTTCCTGGGAAAAGAATGAGGGTGGGTCAGCATGGCCGTGGGGCCCCCAACTCCATAGACCTCCCAGCCCACATCCTCATCCTCTTCCTCTTCATCTTCCTTCGAGGATCCTTCTGGGGTCTCTCCTGTCCCTGATCCTGCTGTGGGATTCTCAGATTCTCTCTTGTAGTCCACCACGGAAGGTATGAATCATCCTCATTTTACAGATGTAGAAACTGAGGCTCAGAAAGATGAATTCATGTATCTGGGAAATGACGGCTCAGAGCCTGCCCTGCCTTTGTACATCTGGATGACTTATTCAGATGCTTATGCAAAGTTGAAGCAGCTCATGCTATAATCCCAGCACTTTAGGAGGGCAAAGCGGGTGGATCACCTGAGGTCAGGAGTTCGAGACCAGCCTGGTCAACATGGTGAAACCCTGTCTCTACTAAAAATACAAAAAATTAGCCAGGTGTGGTGGCGGATGCCTGTAATCCCAGCTACTTAAGGAGGCTGAGGCAGGAGAATTGCTTGAATCTGGGAGGTGGAGGTTGCAGTGAGCTAAGATTGTATCACTGCACTCCAGCCTGGGCAACAGAGGGAGACTCTCTCAAAAAAAAAAAACCAGAAACAAAACAAAGTCAAACAAAGTCCAAGCTACCAGGAAACATGTTGCTGTGTACGTGTACAACAGCCCCCATCCTGTATCTGTCCTGGTCTGCCTCTGCATCCCCTCTCTAGTCTCTAGGATGGGGGTACCAGTTCAGGCACCTGAGGCCAGGTGGGGTGGGTGCCAGCAGCTGGGGCAGGCGCTGGGTAAGCAGGGGCTGCAGAGCCTCCCGCAGGCGGCAGTAGTTGCGCTCTAGCTCGCGGTGGTACTCCTTCTGGTCCGGCCCAATCAGGGCCTTATTTTTCCGCAGCGCATCCTCACATCTGAGGGCCAGAGGGTGGGAGATGCTAAGAGACTCGCACACGGGACTGAAAGCAAGACTAGGGGTGGGGGCATCCGTAAGGCGGGGCCAGGCCTGCGGAAAGACCCGCAATAGGAGGTCAGGTTGGGAGAGTGGACTTAATGGGAAGCCATGCGGAGATCAGGTGGGCAGAGAGCAGGTCTATGCAGGTTAGGCAGGCATGAGCCCCCTCCTGCGGGGTTTTGCGCCTACTTCTTGCAGAAGTCCTTGAAGCAGAGCCGCAGTTTGTTGTGATGCCGGAAGAGCTTGGGGTCTTCCGGGATCTCTGCTAAAAACACTTGGGCCACCTCCAGGGGACCCTGTGGGGTGAGAGGGACTGGTGAGCCAGCCTGCATGGCACCTGGAGTCCCCCGTGCGGCCTGCATCCCCCTTCCACCAGCCGTGCCTGATTCACGGTGGGCCCCACGGAGCCCTGAAGCACCATCTGTAGCATCTTAGCATCTGGTGGGTCCTGCTCGGTGGCAAAGGCCAGCTCCCGTGTTTTCTTCTGCATGTCCTCGATAGCCACCTCCACCGGCGTCAGCACCGTCTATGGGGTGAGGGGAGGGGTGTGCACTCACTGGGGCCTGAGGAGGTCCTGATCGAAGCCAGTCGGGGGCGGCTCAGACCCCGCTGGGAGCAAGAGGGGTCCAAGAACCCAGGCAATGACCAGAATCTGGGGTCCTTCCTGGGTCTGACTCTGGGGGGGTCCAGCCTTGGGTCTGCTGCGTCTGGTGCCCTGGGGTTTAGTGGCTTTACATCTGGGGTCTCCAGACTTCCTTAGGTCTGGAGGTAGAGGTTTGAGACTGGAAGTTGGAGTTTGGGGTCCCCAACCTGGTTCTGGGGTACATGAGCCAATTTCTGGGTCTAGCGTGTCCACACGTCTCCTCTCTGGGTCTGGGATCCCTGGGCGTCTCCTCCCTGGGCCTTCTTAGATTTGGAGTCCCTGTGCCTCCCCTTTGTGAGTCTAGAATCCCTGGGTCCTCCTGGGTCTGGAGGTAGAGGTTTCAGTTTAGAGATTGGAATTCAGGGTCTCTATATCTTCTCCGCCCAGTTCTGGGGTACCTGGGTCTCTTCCTGGGCCACACCTCTCCTCCCTGGGCCTTCCTAGATCTGGGCTCCCTCTGCCTCTTCTTTCTGGGTCTGGAATCTCTGGGCCACGCTGCGTCTGGGGTCCCTGTATCTTGTCTCCCAGGTCTCCCTGGGTCTGGTCTCCTCCCCTCTCCTCCCTGGGGATCTGGTCTAGGGTCCCTGTGCCACCCCTCTCTGTGTCTGAGATCCATGGGCCACCTTGGGTCTGGGTCCCTGTGTCTTCCCTCCCCTCCCCTCCCCTCCCAGGGTCTGTTGTCCCCTCACCTCCCCACCCCTCCAGGCCCAGGGTCCTCACCCACCTCCTCCCTGTGGCACACACGGATGCGAGTCTTGATGTAGGGGAAGGCGTGGTCGGTGCTGAGCAGCGTCTTACGCTTGTGTTGCTCGGGCAGCTCCCCATGTGCGCGCCCATCCGGCGTGAAGGGCGTGCAGAACAGGAATGTGCGAAGCCCATAGTTGCGGTCAAAGTAGGTCACCCGGTCCTTGAGCTCGTAGGTGTCAAAGTACGGTTCCACATACGTGATCTGGATGTAGGCCTGGGCACAGGGTCAGGTGTGAGGAGGGTCCCACAGCCCCGGCACGCACAGCCCAGGCAGGCCCTGTGCCTGGAGAGAGGGGATCTGGGCATCCCTGGATCTGGGGACTTTGTCACTTCCAGGTCTTCCTATGTCCGGATGTTTGGGAATCCCCTGAGGAACAGGTTTTGGGGTCCCCCAGTGAAATGTGATTTGGGGTTTCCCAGAGAAAGAGGATTTGAGGGTCCCCAGGAAACAGGACTTGGCGTCTCTGTGGATCTAGGATTTTGGGGAAATGGTCGGGGGACCCACCTTCTGTGCGTCAAGCTTGGACTTGTCCACAGGGTTAGAGTCTTTGATCATCTCAACCACGTCGTCGCCAAATCTCTCCGTGTAGAACTCCTGGAGACACAGGGCTGACTCGGGGCCACCCAGGGACAGCCCCTACTCCAGCCCCAAGGCAGCCCCATGCCCCGTTCCACCCCCCACCACAAGGACATGCCTCCAGCCGGTGTGAGATCTCTGCCAGCTTCGTGATCGATGGCTCCTTGTACACAAACTCCTGCTCATCCAGGTCGCCAAAGCGGGCGCCGTAGAAGCCCACGCGGAAATACGTCCCAAACACGCGCTGGAGCTGTGAAAAAGGGTGTGGTTGTCCGGGAGGCCCCTGCTGGAGGTCTGCCTGCCCCAGAGATAGGGGTCTCGAATATCAGGATGGGAGTGTGAGGACCACGAGAACATCCAGGCGTGGGCACAGGCAGGGGGTCCTGAGAACATCGGGGCATGGATTGCAATATGAAGTTAGGACTGGGGCTGTATTGTTCACAGGTGTGTCCCTAATGCCCATGGGACAGGGTATATAGCAGGTACCCAATAAATGCTTGGATGGCTGAGGAGAAGGATGGCTGCCTCTCACTCTAGGACAGAGGCTCTGACTCCTTTGTTCTAGGGCATTCTCCTTCCCGTGCCCCGATGCCCGCAAGAATGGGTATACAGTAGGTGCCCAATAAGTGCTTGGATGGCTGAGGGAAGGGATGGCTGTCTCTCACTCTAGGACAGAGGCCCTGGTTCCCTTGTTCCATGGCATTCCCCTGCTCCTGTCCCCGGCCCTAAGTTTGGAAGAAGGAACCCCCTCCCTACCACCCCAAAACCACCACCCCATGACTGGAAAGGAAGTGGAATGGCTGGATGTTCACTTACCAAGGCCGATCCGGGGAGGGTGGGGCAGACATGGTGGGGTCAGAGGTGTGGGGGACAGAGAGACAATGTCATGGGAGTGGTCAGAGGTCAGAGTTCCCTCAACCCCCAGGGTCCTGGTTAACACTGCCCCGTGAGAATCATTCCGTGGGGAGAGAGATCAGAGATGGGAGATGGGAGGGGGCGAAGAGGACCTGCCCTCCCCACCCAGCTCCCACCCGGCCTGCCTGCCTGGGCTCTGGGTTTCTGCCATCTTTGGCCAGAACATTCTCCCCAAACTAGGAGATGCCTAAAAATAGACCTAAGCAGAGAAGAAGCGGGATTGGGGGGGGTGCTGCTGGAGCGGGGGGACACATTAACCAGAAACGAGGAGCAGAGGAGAGCCTGGGGGAGGCTGGAAGCTGGAGACGCAGGGAGAGACACAGACTAAGAGAGATACCAAGATAGGGAGAGCCATGTGACAGATGGGGAGAGATGAGAAAGACACCATGAGGGAGTCAGAGCCACCCTGCCACCCCCCTGCAGTGACCAAGCTGGCCCTGGCAGAGGGAGGGGTGTCTCTGGAGAGCTCCCAGCTGGGTGAGTCACAAGCTGCCCTCGAGATCTGGGGCGGGGGGGTGGTGCATTTTTAGGGAAGGGAGGGAAGTGATGGGGTGGGTGCCTTGTGGCCACAGCCCCAGCCCCAATGGCCAGCGGCCATGCTCCTCTGGCGCCCCCTGGTGTTCACTGATGGCTGCTGGCCAGTCATCACGGGGGTCCCAGAGGCAGGTGGCTGTCCACTGAGGCTGACTCACCTCCCAGCCGGAACTCTGTCGGGAGAGAAGGGTCAAGGTCAGCAGATCCCTGGGGATGAGGAGTGGGGCTGAGGGTGGGGTCTGGGGAGGGGGTCCTGGGCCCACCTGGTGCATGATCTTGGTGAAGGCTTCCTGCAGTTTGCCATGCACGGCGGCCAACTTCTTGTAGTCACGGTGGGCTTCCAGGATGGGGATGAGGTTCTTGTAGACCTCATTCACCGCCTCGTAGAGTCCACCCTGAGAGTGAGGTGGGGTCAGGATTCCCCAAACTGTCTTCCCCTCTCCACTGTGCTCCTGTCTACCCATCTCCCTTGTGATCCTCTGTGCTCCATCCTACCCACCCTCCATCACCTCCTCCAGGAAGCCCGCCCTGACCAGCCCCATCCCAGATAGGGATTGAGCCTTTCCACTCAGCTCCCACAGAGGGCTCCATGGTCTTCACCGCTACTTATCTGTTTTGTTTTTTTGAGATAGGGTCTCACTCTATCGCCCAGGCTGGAGTGTAGTGGTACAATCACAGCTCACTGCAGCCTCCAACTCCTGGGCTCAAGAGATCCTCCCACCCTAGCCTCCCACATAGCTAGAACTACAGGCACATGCCACCATGCCCAGCTAATTTTATTTTAGTTTTGTAGTAGGGTTCACTATATTGCCCTTGGTTTGTCAAGGATCCTTGTCTCATAGCTGGATAAGGTTGCCACCATCCCCTTCACCTTTACAGTATTAGCGGCCTGGCTAGCTGTAATCAGCCTTGGAGGCCGAGGGCGATCACAGTCGGATCGGCCTCCTGCTTCGGACCACTCTAAAAAAACAAAAATAGCGGGCGAGGTGGGGGCCTGGTCCCAGCTCTGGAGGCTGGCGGAATGGGGGCGGAGGCGAATGCAGTGAGCTGAGACCACCACGCCCCCAGCCCTGCACCGACTTTCAAAAAAAACAAGAATATTCTATGGCACAGGTACCATGTACATCTGCACTTCACCCATCTGTGTTCCCTCATTGATGGGAGAAGCAGTTTTTTTTCCCCCTATTCCTCAAAGAGGAAAGTGAGTTTCAGAGATATGGAGGCAATCCCCAGGGCCAAGACCCGAACACAAGCCCATCTGGCCCTGTGCCCGTGACCTCCATGCCCAACTGCCTCCTGGCGTGTGGTAATATGCCCCTCAGCCCCAGCGGGTGCTGGCATCAAGCCTGGCTCAAAACAGGCACCCTGTGAGGTTTGCTGACTGTCAGAAGGCCTGTGTCCACCCCCTGGTTTCTTCCCCTGAGGCCTGTGTGTGTGTGTGTTTTTTTTTTTTTTTTTTTTGAGGCGGAGTCTCGCTCTGTCGCCCAGGCTGGAGTGCAGTGCGCCATCTCGCTCACTGAAGCTCTGCTCCGGGTTCCAATTCTCTGCTCAGCCTTCGATAGCTTACAGGCGCCACATCCCTTTTTTTGTATTTTATGAACGGTTCATTGTTACCAGATGGTTCTGACCTGATCCGTCGGCTCCAATCTGGATTACATTGAGCCGCCCCGTTTTGTTTTTTTTTTTTATTATTTTTTTTCTTTTTTTTTTATCTGGTTCTTGTGAGCCACCGCATTCGGCCCTTCCTCTGAGGACTTCGTCTCCAAGAATCCAGCAAAGTGACATTAATGAAGTTCTAGGGTACATGTGCAGAACGTGCAGTTTTGTTACATAGGTATACACGTGCCACGGTGGTTTGCTGCACCCATCAGCCCGTCACCTACACTAAGTATTTCTTCTAATGCTATCCCTCCGCTAACCCCCACCCGTGTTTGTTTTTTTGTTTTGTTTTGTTTTTAGATGGAGTCTTGGTTTGTTGCCCAGGCTGGAGTGCAGCGGTATGATCTCAGCTCGCTGCAACCTCTGCCTCCTGGGTTCAAGCAATTCTCCTGCCTCATCCTACCTAGTCACTGGAACTACAGGCGCCTGCTACCATGCCTGGCTCATTTTTATTTTTTTGAGACAAGAGTCTTGCTCTGTCACCCAGGCTGTAGTGCAATGGCGTGATGTTGGCTCACTGCAACCTCTGTCTCCCGGGTTTAAGCGATTCTTCTGCCTTAGCCTCCTGAGTAGCTAGGACTACAAGTGCCCGCCACCATGCCCGGCTAATACTTGTATTTTTAGTAGAGACGAGGTTTCACTATGTTGGCCAGGCTGGTCTCAAACTCCTGACCTCGTGATCTGCCCACCTTGGCCTCCCAAAGTGCTAGGATAACAGGCATGAGCCACTGAGCCCATGCCCAGCTAATTTTTTTGTATTTGTTTTTTTTTTTTGTAGAGATGGGGTTTCTCCATGTTGCCCAAGCTGGTCTTGAACTCCCGACCTCAAGTGATCTGCCCTCCTCGGCCTCCCAAAGTGCTGGGATCACAAGCGTGAGCCACCGCATTCGGCCCTTCCTCTGAGGACTTTGTCTCCAAGAATCCAGCAGAGTGACAATAATGAAAACAATGTTGGCCGGACGCAGTGGCTCACGCCTGTAATCCCAGCACTTTGGGAGGCTGAGGCAGGCAGACCACGAGGTCAGGAGATCGAGACCATCCTGGCTAACACGGTGAAACCCCATCTCTAATAAAAATACAAAAAATTAGCCAGGCATGGCGGCGGGCACCTGTAGTCCCAGCTACTCAGGAGGCTGAGGCAGGAGAATGGCGTGAACCTGGGAGGCAGAGTTTGCAGTGAGCCGAGATAGTGCCACTGCACTGCAGCCTGAGTGACACAGCGAGACTCTGTCTCAAAAAAAAAAAGAAAAGAAAACAATGTCACTAGTGTCACTAGAGGGCCAGCACCACAGAAGAAATCTCACTGGAAACCTGACTTCAAATGTGACCTTGAATCTCGCTGAGCTCTCAGATGTAAATGCCAGTTCCCCAAAATGTGAGGAACTGAGAAACAGGTAAAGTGACATCACATGGACACAGCCAGCCCCACACAAACCAGAAAAACACGCGGAGCAAAGGCCCCAGGGCTCCTGCAAGTCAAATGTAGAAGCTACCACCTGCCCTCATACAAACAAGCAAACTAGAGAAGAAAACCCCTTTTCAACAGTGGAAAATCAGTGGCCGGGCATGCTGGCTCATGCCTGTAATCCCAGTACTTTGGGAGGCCGAGGCGAGAGGGTTGCATGAGTCCCGGAGTTCACGCCCAGCCTGGGCAACATAGCAAGACCCCATCTCTTTAAAAAAAGAAAAAAAATTGGCAGGCACGGTGGCTCAAGCCTGTAATCCCAGCACTTTGGGAGGCCGAGACGGGCGGATCATGAGGTCAGGAGATCGAGACCATCCTGGCTAACCCGGTGAAACCCCGTCTCTACAAAAAATACACAAAACTAGCCAGGCGAGGTCGCGGGCGCCTGTAGTCCCAGCTACTCGGGAGGCTGAGGCAGGAGAATGGCATAAACCCGGGAGGCGGAGCTTGCAGTAAGCTGAGATCTGGCCACTGCACTCCAGCCTGGGCGACAGAGTGAGACTCTGTCTCACAAAAAAAAAAAAAAAAAAAGAAAAAAAATTAACAAAGAAAAAAAAATTAGCTGGGTGTGGTGGTGCGCACTTATAGTCCCAGCTACTTGGGAGGCTGAGGTGGGAGGATCACCTGAGCCCAGGACATTGAGGCTGCAGTGAGCCAGGCTGCACACTGCAACCTGGGTGAGAGAGTAAGACCCTGTCTCAAAAAAAGAAAAAGAGACTTAGGATACAGATCAGCCACAGCCATTGTGGGCCCTTATTGGATTCTGATTCAAACCAAGTAACCCCAAAAAAGATACATCAGAGATGATCTGGGACATCTAAATATAGAGTGCAATGAAATGACATCAATGACATTAAAGGATGACCATTAACTTGGCCACGTGGGATACGAGTTTTGTAAAAGGGTCTTTATCAGGAAGGGTTGCACAGCGGGTACTTGTGGGAGTGGTGGGAAAATACCTGGGATTTGCCTTTTTTTTTTTTGGAGACAGAGCCTTGCTCTGTCCCTCAGGCTGGAGTGCAGTGGCATGATCTCAGCTCACTGCAACCTCCGCCTCCTGGGTTCAAGCGAGTCTCATGCCTCAGCCTCCCAAGTAGCTGGGATTACAGATGCCTGCCACCACGCCCGGCTAATTTTTGTATTTTTAGTAGACATGGGGTTTCCCCATGTTGGCCAGGCTGGTCTTGAACTCCTGACCTCAGGTGATTCACCCGCCTCGGCCTCCCAAAGTGCTGGGATTACAGGAGTCAGCCACTGCGCCCAGTCTGGGATTTGCTTTAAGCTGGAGCTTCTCCAACTTGAAGATGCATGTGAATATCCTGTCTTTATTTTATTTATTTTTTGAGACATGTTGGTTTCACTCTGTCACGTAGATTGGAGTACAGCGGCACGATTATAACTCATTGCAGCTCCAACCTCCTGGGCTCCAGTGATCCTCCCACTTCAAGCTTCCTGAGTAGCTGGGACTACAGGTGCGTGCCACCACACCCAGCTAGTTTCTTGTATGTAGAGACAGGGTTTTGCCATGTTGCCCAGGCTGGTCTCAAACTCCTGGCCTCAAGTGAGCCTCCTGCCTCAGCCTCCCAAAGTGCTGGGATTACAGGCGGATTACAGGCGGGAGGCTCCTGCCTCAGCCTCCCAAAGTGCTGGGATTAGGTGGAAGGACTGAGTGAGGCCAGAAGTTTGAGACCAGCCTGAGCAACATAGTAAGACTCCCTCTCTATAAAAAAATTAAAAATTGGCAGGGTGTAGTGGCACACACCTGTAATCCCATGACTTTGGGAGGTTGAGGCAGGCAGATCACTTGAGCTCAGGAGTTCAAGACCAGCCTGGGAAACATGGCAAAACCCCATCTCTACAAAAAAATACAAAAAATTAGTCTAGTGATGTGTGCCTATAGTCCAGTTACTCAGGAGGCCAGGGTGGGAGAATCACCTGAGCCGCCCTGGAGGCCCAGGTTGTAGGGAGCTATGATCATGCCACTGCACTCCAGCCTGTGTGACAGAATGGACGCCTTGTCTCACAAAATATCACAAAGAAAAAATATATATAATAATTTAAAAATTGGCCGGGCATGGTGGCACATGCCTGCAGCCCCACCTACTTGGGAGGCTGAGGTGGGAGGATTGCTTGAGCTCAGGAGTTCGAGGCACAGTGAGCTATTATCGCACCACTGTACACCAGCCTGGGCAAAAGAGCAAGACTCTGTCAAAAACAAACAAATAAAAAAACAAGAAAGGAAAAAAGAAAACAAAGGAAAATTGAAAGCATCTCCAGCGTATGGAAGGTTTGCTATATCAAGCCTGCATCAAGGGTCTCATGGAGACATAGGCAAGTTACAGGGCCTCTGAGAAACCCAATTCTCCTTCTTGCTTTTTTTTTTTTTTTTTGAGACAGTCTCACTCTGTCGCCCAGGCTGGAGTGCAATGGCGCAATCCCGGCTCACTGCAACCTCTGCCTCCCTGGGTCAAGTGATTCTCCTGTCTCAGCCTCCCGAGTAGCTGGGATTACAGCTGCGTGCCACCACGCCTGGCTAATTTTGTATTTTTAGTAGAGACAGGGTTTCACCATGCTGGCCAGGCTGGTCTCGGACTCCTGGCCTCATGATCTACCTGCCTCAGCCTCCTAAAGTGCTGGGATTACAGATGTGAGCCACCGCGCCTGGCCAGTTCTCCTTCTTTCTAAATCCCCTGCTGTAAGGGTCTAGGAAGCAGATGTGATGGCGCCTCCCTGGCCCGAGCCCCCTCTCCCGCACCCAGTCCCCAAGGCCTCACCATGGTGAAGTAGCCGGCTGCCTGTTCCAGCAACCCCACCAGCCCCAGCTCAGTGAAGTGCTTCCCGGAGCAGAAGCCCTCCTCGTCGGGGGACAGGATGTCGTCGGAGATGGCGGACTCCTCTAGCACGTTGGATGAGATGTTCTGGGGCAGAAGAGATGGCATCAAACCCTCGTCCCCACTGCACAAGTGCTGCCCACCGCCTGCCGCCCCCTGGCCTCTCACCTGGAAGGAAACACAGCCCACGGGCAGGTGGCGGTGGTCCTCAAGCAGGGCGAGGTACTCAGCCACGAGGGCGGCTGCATGCACCATGCACTGGGCGGCCTCGGCATGGTTGCCCAGCTCCGCGTGCTTCCCGGCCATGTTCTGCAGCCAGGTCAGCCGCAGGTCTGGCGAGCCCTGGTAGCCCCGGGCAATTCTGGAGTCCAGGTGAGGGGGGATGTGAGGAGGGGACTCACCTGGTCCTCCCCACCTGCCTCCCACTTGTCCACCCCCTTCACTGGTTACCCCCATATCTGCCCCAAGGAGCAGCCAATCTCCTCACCTGTACCCCATCGCCTCACTCATTCCGTCACCTGGCCATCCCTCACCTGTCTTCCCTTTCGTCTGTTTTCTCACCTGCTGGCCAGTCATCTGTCTTCACCTGTCTCCTCCCCTGCCTACCTTACATATTCCTTTAGTCATCTTTCTCCTTACTTGTCCTGCTGTCTCCCACTGACCAGTCAGTCTCCTTACCCGTACCCTACTCACCTGTCTATCCCCTCACCTGTCCACCCGCTCACCTGTCCACCCCCTCACCTGTCCACCCCCTCACCTCTCTATCGCCTCACTGTCTATCCCTCACCTGTCTATCCCCTCACCTGTCCACCCCTCACCTGTCCACCCCCTCACCTCTCTATCCCTTCACCTGTCTATCTCCTCACCTGTCTATCCCCTCACCTGTCCACCTCTCACCTGCCCATCCTTCACCTGTCCATCTCTTCAGTTGTCTATCACCTCACCTGTCCACCCGCTCACCTGTCCATCCCTTCACTTGTCTCTCCCCTCACCTGTCCACCCCTCACCTGTCCATCCTACCTGTCTATCTCCTCATTTGCCTATCCCCTCACCTGTCCACCCCCTCACCTGTCTGTCCTAGCTGTGTATCCCCTCACATGTCCACCCACTCACCTATCCATCCCCTCACCTGTCCCTACCTTCACCTGCCCATCCCCTCACCTGTCCACCCCCTCACCTGTCTGTCCTAGCTGTGTATCCCCTCACATGTCCACCCACTCACCTATCCATCCCCTCACCTGTCCGTCACTTCACCTGCCCATCCCCTTACCTGTCCACCCTATCACCTGTCCACCCTCTCACCTGTTTATCCCCTCACCTGTCTGTCCCTCACCTGTCCACCCTCTCACCTGTCCATCCCTTCACTTGCCTATCCCCCACTTGTCTATCCCCTCACCTATCCCCTCACATGTCCATCCCTTCACCTGTCTATCCCTCACCTGTCCATCCCTTCACCTGTCAACTCCCTCACCTGTCCATCCCTTCACCTGTCTCCTCGCCTGTCCACCTCCTGACTTCTCTACCTCCTGACCTGTCCATCCCCTCACCTGTCTATCCTGTCACCTATGTCTTCACATGTCCATCCCCTCACTTGTGTCCTCACCTGTCCATTTCTTCACCTACTCACCTGCCTGTCCAACCCTTTTCCTGTCTTCCCACTTACCTGTCTCCTCACCCATCCATCCTACTCTCCTTGACTGCTCACCTGTGTGGCATCTCCCCGCTTCCTCTATTCACCTGTCTCTTCGCTTATCTAACCCCTCACCTGTCTGTCCCTTCACCCCCCTGCCCCACCTTTTCATTTCTCACTTGACCCTCAGTTCATGAGTTGACTCTACCTGTGGAAACTTGAGTCACCTGAACTATTTCCCCTTCCTTGTGCACCATCTCACCTGTCTATCCACCTGCCCCTCCCATATGCCCCACCTTCCCCATCTCCATCACCGTCCACCCCTCCTACGCTCCTCAACAGGTCTAGTCTCTGGATCTCATTTCCCTTCACCTGTGAGCCCCTCACCTGTCCCCCTCACCTGTCCTGGCTCTCATCTGTCATCCTCATCAATACATTCTTCTGGCATCCTCTTTACCTGTTTGCTCACCTGTTCTCTCCTTACTTGTGCCCTCATTTCTGCTCACCTGTCCCCCTCACTTGTCCCCCTCATCTGCCTCTGTTAGAGACTGTATGCTCCCCTGCTCCCTCCTCACCTCCTCAGACATCTACTCTCATCCCTGTTCTCCCTGCACCTGTTGGGGCGTGGGTGCGGCTGAAGGTGCCGGCTGGCCCGCCTCACCTGTACATGAGGTCGATGAGCATCTCAGGGTCCTCCTGGTGTTCTTTCATCTTCACCGTGTCCGTCAGGATCATGTGCAGGTTGAACATCAGGTCCTGGACCTGGAGCCGGGGAACATCCAGGGGCCAATGAGGGCATTAGGAAGTGAAGGGAGCCAAGGTGGTGGGGTCAGGGATTATATGAAGGGAAGGCGGCGCGGGGACCCAGCAGGTGTCACCTGCTCCGCGAAGGTGCTGTCCCGCAGCCCCACGTCCTCCTCAGCATAGGTGAGGATGGTTTTGAGTGAACGTCGCAGGTACTCTTCACTGAAGTTCTGTGTTGTCCCCACCAGGGACGAGAGAGACATGGTGACCTGCATCTTCACACGGGCAAAGTTCTGCAGGGAAGGGAGGGAAAGTGGAGCCAGGAGTCTCAGACCCCAGACACCACACCAGGGTCTGCTCAACCTGCCGACATGGCCCTTGCATTCTTTATTTATTTTTTTTATTTTTAATTTTTTTGAGATGGAGTCTCATTCTGTTGTCCAGGCTGGAGTGCAGTGGTGTGATCTCAGGTCACTGCAACCTCCGTCTCCCGAGTTCAGGCGATTCTCCTGCCTCAGCCTCCTGAGTAGCTGGGACTGCAGGCATATGCCACTATGCCCAGCTAATTTTTGTATTTTTGGTAGAGACAGGGTTTTACTATGTTGGCCAGGCTGGTCTCGAACTCCTGACCTCAAGTGATTCACCTGCCTGGTCCTCCCAAAATGCTGGGATTACAGGTGTGAGCCACCATGCCCAGTTGTTTTTTCTTTTTTTCTTTTTTTTTTTAGACTGAGTGTGTCACTGTATCGTGTAGGCTAGAATGCAGTGGTGCAATCTTGGCTCACTGCTGCAACCTCTGCCTCCCAGGTTCAGTGATTCTCATGTCTCAGCCTTCGAGTATTGGATTACAGGTCTGCCCATGCCGCTATTTTTGTATTTTTAGTAGAGACGGGTTTTATGTTGGCCAGGCTGGTCTCGAACTCCTGACCTCAAATGATCCACCTGCCTCAGCTTCCCAAAGTGTTGGGATTACAGGCATGAGCCACCATGCCTGGCCTCTTTTTTTTTTTTTGAGACAAGGTCTCACTCTTGCTCAGGCTGGAGTGTGGTGGCACAATCACGGCCCACTGCAGCCTCAAACTCCCGGCCTTCAAGTGATCCTCTCACCTCAGCCTCCGAAAGTGCTGGGCTTACAGGAATGAGCCAGGGCATCTGACCCCCAATTGCGTTCTGAGCCCTCCTCCTGCCCATTATGCTCAGTGACTACCTCCCCCCACCTCACTCCCTGTATGGCACTGAGACCCCGCCGGCCACCCTGACCAGAGCCATGTGTGGACCATGCCTCCTTGCCCCCACTCACGTGGCCGATCTCGAAGTTCTGTCGCATGAGCAGGTACAGCGAGGCGCTGGCGTGCGTGCGGATGGTGCTGATGCGGCTGCCACAGTGTCGTAGGAGCCTCAGGCACAGGTCAGCACACAGCTCCGTGTCCTCCTCAAACAGCAGCTCCGGGAACTGCCCACAAGGACCCAGACAGACACTGTCCAGCCCCTCCCGGTTCTGGCTCAGAAGGGGACTGGCCCAAATGAGGACTGCTTGGGTAGGGGTTTGTGTTTTGTCCTCTTTGGCCAAGTACCACTGTGTTCGGAGTCAGACCTGGGTTTAAGCCCCGTGCTGTGTGACCCTGGGTAAGTGACTTGGCCACTCTGATCCTGCCTTCCTTCCACTGTAAACTGTGGCAAAGCAGTCTGCTCCATGGAGTTGCAGGGCACACGGTAAATGCTCAATGAATGAGCTACTTTTTTTTGTTTCTTTTTTTTGAGACAGTATTTCACTCTTGTCTCCCAGGCTGGAGTGCAGTGGCGCGATCACAGCTCACAACTCCCAGGCTCAAGCCATCCTCCTACCTCAGCCTCCCCAGTAGCTCCCTAGTAGCTGGGATCTCAGGTGTGTACCACCCTGCCTGGCTAGCATTTTTTTTTTTTTTGAGACAGGCTCTCACTGTGTTGCCCAGGCTGGAGTCCAGTGGCACGATCACGGCTCATGTAGCCTTGACCTCCCGGGCTCAAGTGATCCTCAGCTTTCTGAGACGCTAGGACCACAGACACATGCCACCACACTCAATTTTTTTGTAGAAACAGGGTCTCACCATGTTGCCCAGGCTGGTCTCAAACTCCTAGGCTCACATCATCTTCCTGCCTCAGCCTCCCAAAGTGCTGGGATTAAATGTTGTAGAGCCCCATTGCCAGGTGGTCGACCTAGCTACATCATCTACCTCAGCTCCAATGCTGTTAAGGTGTGACCATTGTCTATATTTTTTTTTTTTTTTTTTTTTTTTTTGAGACGGAGTCTCACGCTGTTGCCAGGTGGGTGCAGTGGCATTCGGTCACTGCAAGCTCGCTCTGGGTCCCATTCTCCTGCCTAGCCTCCTGAGTAGCTAGACTACAGGCCCGCCACCGCCCGCTAATTTTTGTTTTTAGTAGAGACGGTTTCACTGTGTCTCGATCTCCTGCCTTTGATCCGCCCGCCTCAGCCTCCCAAAGTGCTGGGATTACAGGTGTGAGCCACCGCGCCTCGTCCTAGCTAATTTAAAAATGTTTTGTAGAGACGGGCCTCTCTATGTTGGCCAGGCTGGTCTCAAACTCCTGGCCTCAAGTGATCCTCCCACCTCAGCCTCCCAAAGTGCTGGGATTATGGGCATGAGCCACTGTGCCCAGCCTAGAGCTTCTACTGTTTTTCTAAGAATCATGGTTGTTGAGTGGTTCTTACCTTGGACACAAGGGCCCTCTGGGTGGCCAGGCCATGCTGCAAGAAGAGGGCACTCTGGGCACTGCCCAGGCTGTACAGCACAACCTTCAGCACTGCCCCTAAGACGCTCTCCCGGGCTTCTGAAAGCATCACCGTCTGGAGGGGAGGGGGTCAGAAATCCAGGCGTGGTGATAGGGAAAGGGAAGGAGAGGGATTATGGAGCCAGGGATCACAAGGCACTGCAGCTGGGCTCAGAGCGCAAAGCAGATGCTGGATCAAGCCCTACCTGCACGATGATCTCCAGTGTGTCCAGAACTACTAGGCTTGCCTCGGTTGCCAGGTTCCCTTCCACCAAGGCCTCGTGTTCCATTTCATCCTTGGTCCTGGAAGGGGAAGGGAGGTCTTGGGGCCCCACTTAGGGCAAGATCCTACTCCATGGCTGAGCTCCCTCCTCCCCCTGGCAACCCAGGGGGCTCTGTCTCTCTGGAAGCTGTTGTTTTTTGTTGTTGTTTTTGTTTTCTGAGACAGGGTCTTGCTCGGATGCCCAGGCTGGAGTGCAGCGGTGTGATCACAGCTCACTGCAGCCTCAACCTCCCAGGCTCAAGTCATCCTCCCACCTCAGTCTCATGAGTGGCTGGGACCACAGGCACATGCCACCATGCCTGGCTAATTTTTAAATTTTTGGTAGAGACAGGGTCTCACTATGTTGCCCAGGCTGGTCTCGAACTCCTGGACTCAAGCAATCCTCTCGCCTCGGCCTGAACTGTTCTGAACTCAGCAAACTCCCTCCTGCCCACACCTACTTGTCCACGCGGTCTGAGGTTTGCTTCCAGTGTGTGACGCTCTTCCGCCAGCGCACGTTCTCTGGATTCCCAAATGGGCTCCTCTCTGAGACGCATGAGTGCATGATCACAGATGCGTAAAAACACAGGGCACACGTGAACATCAGGAGAAATGCACAGGCATGAAGATATTCAGGTGGGCTGACCCGTGAGGGCACTGGGTGGAGCAGAAGCCTGCCGGGTGGACGCACAGGGGCAGACACGAGTGACAGATGGGGACGCACAGGCGCACGTGTACGGTGATGACGCGTGGACCTCTCTCCAGGAAATGTGAGGCAGAAAGTAAGCTAGGGATGGCCCCCTTCATGGGGTCCCTTGACACAAGGTGGGAGCAGCTGGTGGGATGGGGACATGTGGCTACGTTACCCTCTTACCACGACTTCGCCGAACCATTTCTTGTCGAGCTCCGATGGTGCCCAGAATGGCTTCCTCTAGACGTGCCTTCATATCCAGCGATTTTTTGAATGTGAGGCTGTTGATGCGTTCAAAGGCCTTTTTCCCCTGTGGGGAGACAGAGAACTGGGGTTCAAGGTTGACTCTGCTCTTTTCAGTGGGAGCTTGGCTGGCCCCATCCCTTTCTTTGTGCTCTTTCTCACCTCCGGGCCCCTGTGCTTCAAGACAGTTTACCTTTTTCTTCTAAATTCTTAGCACTTACCAAAAAGTGCTCACTGCAACCTCCACCTACTGGGCTCAAGCAATCCACCTCAGCCACCTCTGTAGCTGGGACTACAAGCATGTGCCACCATGCTCAGGTAAGTTTTGTATTTTTTGTAGAGATGGGGTTTCACCATGCTGCCCAGGCTGGTCTCAAACTCGTGGGCTCATGCAGTTTGCCTGCCTTGGCTTCCTCAAGTGCTGGGATTACAGGCGTGAGCCACTGCACCAGGCCTTTTTAAAAAAATTTCTTTCTTTTTTTTTTTTCCAGAGATGGAGCCTCACTGTGTTGCCCAGGCTGGTGTGTAGTGGCATGATCTCAGTTTACTGCAACCTCTGCTTCCCAGGTTCAAGCAATTCTCTTGCCTCAGCCTCCTGAGTAGCTGGGACTACAGGCATGTGCCACCACACCCAGGTAATTTTTTGTATTTTTAGTAGAGACAGGGTTTCACCATGTTGCCCAGGCTGGTCTTGAACTCCTGACCTCAGGTGATCCACCTGCCTCAGCCTCCCAAAGTGCAGGGATTACAGGCATGAGCCACTGTGCCTGGCCTCCATCTTCCAAATTCTATTCACAAAGGCATTTCTGACTTTATTCCTTGCCTCGGCACAGAAACAATCCACCCCTTTACTCTCAGTCCCACAGAGTCCTCTGCACAAAGACAGTCCACCCCTTCCCACTCAGCCTGCAGCACCCTGGGTCCCTGGGTACATCTTTAGCCTGCCTCCCCCATTATCTCCTGCCGACACCCTCGAACCTTGTACTCGAAGGCAGCCAGGCAGAGGTACAGCAAGTCCAAGAGACGTCCCAGCTGGGGGAGTGTCAGGTCAGTGGCCCAGCGCTGCAGGAGCGCCGGCTCGGCATTTTTCAGCACCCACAGCACGCACGCCAGCAAGGTCCGGCTTGACTCAGCAGAGAGGGCACAGCCTGCGCGAGAAGCCTGGGGCCAGACAGGAATCAAAGTCAGTTTCCATTTTCTCCATGTGAGATGAATCCTGGCCAATCTGTATCTTGATACCTGGCTTCTCCCATTCAAAGGGGATGATGTCTATGGGGACAAGCCTCCCTACTCACCGTTGGCGGCCCCTGGGAGATGCTGGCCCGGGAGCCAGGGGCTAGGGGGCCACCAGCAATGGCCATGGCCACAGAGGGGTTGATGGTACCCGCAATGTCCCCTTCGCCTTCTGTGTCTGAGTCAAGCATTGAGGCCAGTCTTGACCGCTGACCTGGACCCTCTGGCAGGGAAGGACAGAGGGAGAAAAAGATAAAGCCTTGGTAAGTGCTGTCCCTGTCTCAAATTTCAGAAGTCTTCCCTCACGGCCAGGCATGGTGGCTCACACCTGTAATCCCAGCACTTTGGGAGGCCGAGGGGGGTGGATCACCTGAGGTCAGGAGTTCGAGACCAGCCTGGCCAACGTGGCAAAATCCCATCTCTACTAAAATTACAAAAAATTAGCTGGGTGTGGTGGCAGACGCCTGTAATCCCAGCTACTTGGGAGGCTGAGGCAGGAGAATGGCGTGAACCTGGGAGGCGGAGCTTGCAGTGAGTTGAGATCGTGCCACTGCACTGCAGCCTGGGCGACAGAGTGAGACTCCATCTCAAAAAAAGAAAAAAAAGAAAATAATAAATGGTACAATAATATTTCCCATCTATTGTAGGCTGACAGTATCTCAGTACTACAGCCCCGCACATTTTCACATAACCTTATGAAGTAGTTGGTGTTATTACTGTCCCCATTACAGGGGAGAAACCTGAGGCTCAGAGATGTTATAACTTGACTCGTCTGTCCTAGCACTTTAACCTGCTCTGCTAATCCTAATGCCTATACTCATATCCCTGACTGTGTTCTCCCACCTTTACTATCCTGCGCCTCCTGTGACCAAGTCCCTGGGTCGTGTGAGCCCATCCTCCCCTGGCCCACTGACCAGCAAAGTCATGCAGCCGTGGCAAGGTGTCCCGTGCAATCGATAGCAGCGGCAGGTACAGCTCAGCCACACAAGCCTTCACGGTGGCCTCTGCATAGCGGGGATCAGTGTCATGGCCACATAGCAGGCTGTGCACAGCACTGATGGCCTTCTTGTGCAACAGAAATGCCCTGTGGGGTAATGGGGTGCTCAGGACAGGGTGGACATGGCTCCTGAAATGTCCTACCTGCCCTGGGGCTAGACAGGACCTCTGCTCACCCCTCAGCCTCAGGTTCAAGGGCCAGCGCCAGCTCTGTCAGCAGGAGACCAGCTAGGAAGTGCTGCTGCCGGAATGGTCCACTCAGTTCGAACATGCTGGTCACCTTGGGGTCCGGGGCTTGGCTGGAGAAGGTGGAGCTCTGCAGAGTGGGGTAAAAATGGGGGATGCCAGCGGTCAAGGGTCAGAGGTGGGAGGTCACCATTAAAGCCATCTTGGAGGTGACAGAAATCATGGTGCTAATAGCCACAGATGAGAGACTGAGGTTAAGTCATCTGGAGGTGACAGCGGGTATGGGTTTCAAGCCCAGAAATGAGAGGCGGACGTTAACCCATCTGTGATGTAACAGGGCATGGGGTCAAAAGTCAGAGGACTGAGAAATAGCACATGGAACACCGGGCTGGGAGTTAGGATTTAGGGGAGAGAAATCAGAAGTTAGTCCTTCTGGGAAATTGCTGAGAATGAGAGGAGAGGTGAAGGGTCAGAGGTCAAAAGTCAAACATAAGGGATCAGTTCACCTAGGCAGTGGTCCACCGTGAAAGGGACAGAGATGAGTCCATAGGAGATGGACTGAAGGTGAGAGGTTGTAGGTCAAAGAGAGGAGGCAGAAGTGAAGCCAGCCCACCTGGGACGTGGTGGAGGACACAGAGGGGGAGGGCGAGGCTGGGGGCGACAGGGGGCAGCAGGGGAGGTTGAGGGTCACGTAGTGCTCGTGGCTGCATAGGATGCGAGTGAATTCCATGCGCAGGGTCAGCAGGGCCGCTGGATTAGGGGACGACTGGAGCCGCGTGGCCACCTGCAGGAGAGGGGTGGCCAGCAGTGATGTCAACATTGCTCCGCCTTCCATCCATGCCATGTACACCCTGCCCACGCCCACTCCTACCTGCTTGTAGTGGGCCCGGACCAGGCTGAAGACAAAGCCCCGGTCCACCAGGGACAGAAGGTCACTGAGGAAGAAGGCCAGGCTGGCGTTGAGGCGCTCGGCCAGCTCCACATCCTGAGGACACAGGGGCCTGTCAACCCACACAGCCATACCTCCTCCCCAAACCTCAGCCCCCACAGGGGCTTGGGTTTTTTTTTTTTGAGACAGAGTCTTGCTCTCTTGCCCAGGCTAGAGTGCAGTGGCACGATCTCGGCTCACTGCAAGCTCCGCCTCCCAGGTTCACGCCATTCTCCTGCTTCAGCCTCCCGAGTAGCTGGGACTACAGCCGCCTGCCACCTCGCCCGGCTAGTTTTTTTGTATTTTTTAGTAGAGATGGGGTTTCATCAAGTTAGCCAGGATGGTCTCGATCTCCTGACCTCGTGATCCGCCCGTCTCGGCCTCCCAAAGTGCTGGGATTGCAGGCGCGAGCCACTGCACCCGGCCAGGGGCTTGACTCTTACCAGAGTCAAGATCATCTGCCACACCTAGGAGCTGCATCACTGCCCCAAAGCCTTTGTCTCTGGGCTGTGGTGACCCTGGGACTTCCTGGTTGCCCTCCTCAGGCTGCCTTCCTCTCCCATGCTCCTTAAGACACCAAGGCAGATATGGGCTGACTCCCCGCAAGATCCTCTCGCCCTCTCTGTCCAGAGTTCAGAGCTGGGGAGAGACCATTTCCCAGCCTCCCGTGCAGTGGAATCACATGACCAATTCTGGCCAATGGAATTTGAGGGGAAAGTGAGGTGGCCACTTACATGGCAGAAGCAGGTGGGTGCTGGGGAACTGCCAGGGCCAGGCCCACACAGTGATGTCTCCATAACCTACTTAATGCTCAGAAATAAGCTTTGGTTATTTAAATCACTTGTGACTGTGTTGAAGCGAGTTAGCCTCTGCCCTAACTGATCAACTCCCAACATCATTTATTTTTATTTTAATTAATTAATTAATTTATTTATTTATTTTTTGAGACGGAGTCTCACTCTGTTGCCCAGGCTAGAGTGCAGTGGCACGATCTCGGCTCACTGCAACTTCTGCCTCCCAGGTTCAAGCAATTCTGCCTCAGCTTCCCCAGTAGCTTGAATTATAGACACCCACCACCACGGCTGGCTAATTTTTGTATTAGTAAAGACGGGGTTTTGTCATGTTGGTCAGGCTGGTCTTGAACTCCTGACCTCAGGTGATCCACCTGCCTTGGCTTCCCAAAGTGCTGGGATTACAGGCGTGAGATACCACACCCGGCCTCTCAGCACCATTTAATGTGAGCTTTACTGAGCATCTACTCTGTGCCAAGCCCTGTGAATGAGGCAGATGCCATCCCCGCTGCGTGTCCAACTCAGTCCAGTGTGTGGGGGGGGTGGGGGGGCAGGGAGACACAAAATAAACAAGAATTTCAGATAGTCAGATAGTTCTATGTGCTTCAAAGACAATATTAGATTGGTGCAAAAGTAATTGCAGTTTTGCAATTACTTTCAATGGCAAAAACCATAATTATTTTCTTTTTTTTTTTTTTTTGAGACAGAGTCTTGCTCTGTCGCCCAGGCTGTAGTGCAATGGTGTAATCTTGGCTCACTGCAGCCTCTGCCTCCCGGGTTCAAGCGATTCTCCTGCTTCAGCCTCCTGAGTAGCTGGGATTATAGGCATGTGCCACCACCCCTGGCTAATTTTTGCATTTTTAGTAAAGACGGGGTTTCACCATGTTGGTCAGGCTGGTCTCGAATTCCTGACCTCAGGTGATCTGCCCTCCTCGGCCTCCCAAAGTGCTGGGATTACAGGTGTGAGCCAACATGCCCGGCCTGTAATTACTTGTCACCAACCTTAACAGACTGAGGTGACATTTTCAGAGATACTGAAGGATAACAAAGAGCCATGGGGAGAATGGCATCCTGGGTAAAGGGAACAGTCAGTGCAAAGGCCCTGAGGCAGGATGTGCCTGGCAAGCCTGGGGAACACTGAGGTGGCTGATGTGGGCCCAAGGCTCAGCTGGTACTTGTTCTGCCCTCGTACTCTCTTGAGCCACTCTGAGACCTCACAAGTTAGCCTCAGCAGCCGTCAAATCCCTGCAACCCAGCCAGGCATGGTGGCTTATGCCTGTAATCCTAGCACTTTAGGAGGCCAAGGAGGGCGGATCACAGGGTCAGGAGTTTGAGACCAGCCTGGCCAATATGGTGAAACCCCATCTCTACTAAAAATACAAAAAATTAGCTGGGCATGGTGGCATGCATCTGTAGTCCCAGCTACTCGGGAGGCTGAGCCAGGAGAATCGCTTGAACCCAGGAGGCGGAGGTTGCAATGAGCAGAGATTGTGCCACTGTACTCCAGCCTGGGCAACAAAACAAGACTCTGTCTCAAAAAAAAACAAAAACAAAAAAATTAGCCGGGCATGGTGGCACATCCCTGTAGTCCCAGCTACTCAAGAGGCTGAGGCAGGAGAATTGCTTGAACCTGGGAGGCAGAGGTTGCAGTGAGCCAAGATCATGCCATTGCGCTCCAGCCTGGGGGACAGAGCGAGACTCCATCTCAAAAAAAAAAGTGGATCATCACGGGCATTGTCTTCTCTGGATCTCTTTCTTGGGGTAGTTTCCTCACCATCTGGATCAGCCCCTGGGAATGTCAGTCTTTGGGAAGGCTCCAGTGAGACAAGGCCAGAACCTCTGAGACCAGCTTGGAGGTCATATGCGATTGTGCAAGGGTTGGCCTGGGCCAGAATGCCATTTCAAAAATCTGGAAAGTTCTCATCAAATCCAGAGGTCCCATTTCTCCTTAGAAACCAGGTCATCTCCTGGCATGGGTAACATAGCAAGACCCCATCTCTACAAAAAAAAAAAAAATTAGGTGGTTATGGTAGCATGCACCTGTAGCCTCAGCTACTCTGGAGGCTGAGGTGGGAGGATTGCTTCAGCCCAGGAGTTTGAGGCTGCAGTGAGCCTCATATCATGCCACCACACTCTAGTCTGGACAATAGAGCAAGACTGTGTCTCAAACAAAAACAAATATAAAAACAAAAACAAAACCACACACAAAAAACTCCCAGACAATCTGGCCAGGCATGGAGGCTCATGCTTGTAATTCCGGCACTTTGGGAAGCCAAGGTGGGAGAAGCCCTTGATCTCAGGAGTTGGAGACCAGTCTGGGCAACATAGTGAGACCCTGACTCTACTTAATAAATAAATAAATAAATAAATAACCAATTATGGTGGCTTGTGCCTCTGGTCACAGCTACTTGGGAGGCTGAGGAGGGAGGATCCCTTGAGCCCAGGAGGTCGAGGCTACAGTGAACTATGATCACACCACTGCACTCCAGCCTGGGCAACAGAGCAAGACCCTATCTCCAAACAAAAACAGCCGGCCGGGCGCGGTGTCTCACGCCTGTAATCCCAGCACTTTGGGAGGCTGAGGCAGGCAGATCACGAGGTCAGGAGATTGAGACCATCCTGGCTAACACGGTAAAACCCCATCTCTACTAAAAATGCAAAAAACTAGCCAGGCGTGGTGGCAGGCGCCTGTAGTCCCAGCTACTTGGGAGGCTGAGGCAGGAGAATGGCATGAACCCAGGAGGCGGCGCTTGCAGTGAGCCAAGATTGTACCACTGCACTCCAGCCTGGGAGACTGAGCAAGACTCCATCTCAAAAAAAAAAAAAAAAAAAAAAACCACAAACAAACAAAAAAAAACAGCCCATCTGGCCATAGCTGAGCCACATTTCTGCAGGGTTTCTGTTGGCTGGATTGAGTGATGGTCACCCCTGTTAGGTGGGACATCTGCCCTCTGCTCTACCATAAGCGCCACTTTCCTAGCTGAAACTGGTATTGACAGTAAGGGGTCAGGAGCTGGTGGCTCAGATTCAAAAACCTCATTCTGCCCCTTCTCAGTCATGTGGTACAAGGTTAAGCTACTCATTCATTTGATGCCTCAGTTTCCCCATCAGTAAAATGGAGATAACAATAATACTAACTTCATGGGTTGTTGTGAAAATTTAATGATACGATCCAAGGCCAGGCGCGGTGGTTCAAGCCTGTAATCCCAGCACTTTGGGAGGCCGAGGCGGGCGGATCACCCAAGGTTAGGAGTTCCAGACCAGCCAGGCCAACATGGAGAAACCCTGTCTCTACTAAAAATACAAAACTAGCCAGGTGTGGTGGCACATGCCTGTAATCCCAGCTACTTGGGAGGCTGAGGCAGGAGAATTGCTTGAACCTGGGAGGCGGAGGTTGCAGTGAGCCAAGATCGCGCCACTGCACTCCAGCCTGGGCAACAAAAGCGAAACTCCGTCTCAAAACAAACAAACAAACAAACAAACAAACAAACAAAAGATATCCATATAAAGTGCTTAGATACACAGTAAGTGCTCAATAAATGCTCAATATTATTACTCTTATGATTAGTATTACCTGCCTAGCCCCCGAGGGCACTGGAATTGGTAATCCAGCGCCTGAACAAGTCCACTGTCAGGGTCTCCGAACATCAACATCCATTTATTGAGCAGTTGCTATATACTCTGACTGTGCTAAGGGCTAATGGATCTGCCCTGTCACTTCCCTGCTCTCATCAACCCTCATTTCCTTCCTCATTCACTACAATCTAGCCATCCTTACTGCTCTCCTGGTAGCCCAAGCATGGTCTTGCCCCAGGGCCTTTGCACCTGCTATTCTCCCTGCCTGGAATGTTCCTTCCCCAGACGTTGCATGGAATGATCTCTCACTTTCTTCAAGTCTCCCCTTAAAAGCGAGGGTAAGGATTTGGGTCTGTTTTGGTTCTTGTTATGTTGCTACACCCAGCACAGGGCTGTGCACACCAGAGGCACTCAAGAAACAATGAATGAATGGATCCACCCAGCAAAGGGGATTCCCAGTCTTACAGGCAGGAGGCACTGGGCAGGATTGGCGCCCCCACCTGGCTGGCTCGCTGTGCACACCAGAGGCACTCAAGAAACAGACAATGAATGAACAGATCCACCCAGCAAAGCAGATTCCTGGTCTTACAGCCAGGAAGCACTGGGCAGGGTTGGCGCCCCCACCTGGCTGGCTCTATGTCCTCCCTCAGGTTTCTTCCCACATTGAGACCCTGCATCTCCCACCTTGTGGACACGGGTGATGACCTCCAGGCCCACAGAGCCCACCAGGGCAGTGATGTCGTCCAGGAAGCGCCCAGGGAAGCGCAGCTTGCGGGGTGTGTCTAGTCGCTGGCCAAGAAGCAGGTGCAGTGCCATACTCTTCACCTGGGGGTGGAGTGAGAGGGCTGTGGGTGGGGCTTGAAGGACTGTGGGTGGGGCTTGAAGGGCTGTGGGTGGGGCTTGAAGCACTGTAGGTGGGGCTTGAAAGGCTGTGGGTGGAGGAGGCTTGACAGAAGGGGTGGGGCTTTAGTAGCAAGGGAGGTGGGCTGAAGGTAGGTTTGAGCCCTGTAGCTGCAGGTAGAAGTTGGGGCCTGAGGGATGTAGATGGGGTTTGTGACCTATGGGTGGGGCTTGAGAAAGCCATGGGCGGATCCTGTGGGCATCCCAGGCCGAGTGTAGAGAACGGGAAGGCTGAGAGGGTGTGGGAGGGGCTTATGCAGGTCTCCCCAGGGCAAAGTCCAGAGGTGGGACAAAGGGTGGGGCTTGAGGCACTGGATTTGAAGGGAGCTTTACTGGAGGTCCAGAGGGGATGGGGCCAGCAGGCCCTGGGAAGGGGGCTTCAAAGAACCTATTGAAGAGTTTTAGGGATGTCTCTACCTTGATCAGACAGCTTTCCCTCTTTTTTTTTTTTTGAGATGGAGTCTTGCTCTGTCGCCCAGGCTGGTGTGCAGTGGGCATGATCTTGATCACTGCAACCTCTGCCTACTGGGTTCAAGTGATTCTCCTGCCTCTGTCTCCCATGTAGCTGGGATTACAGGCACATGCTACCACGCCCGGCTAACTTTTGTATTGTTAGTAGAGATGGGGTTTCACCACATTGGCCAGGTTGGTCTCAAACTCCTGACCTCAGGTGATCCACCCGCCTCGGCCTCCCAAAGTGCTGGGATTACAGGCGTGAGGCCCTGTGCCCAGCCACAGCTTTCCCTCTCTATCCAGGAATATCTCTTGCAGGATGGAGGTCTCCTCTCTAGGTGAGGGTCTCTTAATGGTTTCTCTCCTTAAACAGTCTCATGGGGAAGGGAGGCTCTCTCTAAAGGGGGTTTCAGGTACAGTCTCTCCACGGAGACACCACCTTAAGTGCTTCTTACCTCCCTAGGTGGGGGGTCTCTTGGGGCCATTTCTCAAATATCTCAGGTGCAATCTCAGGGGGCTTCTCTCCTTTTTTTTATTTTTTCTTTTTTTTTTTTTGAGTCTTGCTCTGTTGCCCAGGCTGGAGTGCAGTGGCGCAATCTCGGCTCACTGCAAGCTCCGCCTCCTGGGTTCATGCCATTCTCCTGCTTCAGCCTCCCAAGTAGCTGGGACTACAGGTGCCCGCCACCACGCCTGGTTAATGTTTTTGTATTTTTAGTAGAGACGGGGTTTCACCATGTTAGCCAGGATGGTCTCGATCTCCTGACCTCATGATCCACCCGCCTCGGCCTCCCAAAGTGCTGGGATTACAGGCATGAGCCACTGCGCCTGGCCAGGGGGCATCTCTCTTTAAAAAAGGAAGGGGCTCCCTTGGGGGTCTCTTGCCACCAGGCAGGGAGGCGGGGGTCTCACCATGAGCTGGAAGAAGAACCAGGCGTGCTGGAGGATGGCCTCGCGTACGGCACTGCTGCTGACCACCCACTGCAGAGCCAGCTCCTCGTGAAGCAGCTGGGGGACAGAGGCAGGGGTCACAGAGTGCAAGGTGCCACCCCTTCCCGCACCCCCTCTGGAGGGCATGCCAGGGGAGGGTGCAGCCGGAGGGCTCGGGGTTAGTGCAGCAGGAGCCAAGCAGGAGGAGAGGGGTAAGAGGAGTAGACGTGCCCTTTCCCTGGGCTCACCAGACCCCCTTGGGCTCTGGATGGGGGAGGAGCACTGGACCCCTTTGCTGGGGGCCAGGACAAAAATGAAGTCATCCACCCTTCCCCCCACTACCTTCTGTACAGTGGGTCTCGGCTGGGTGGCTGGTGGGGCTGAGGAGGAACCCTCGAGGTAGGAGGAGGCTCGGCTAGAGGCGCGGTCGATGGCCTATGATGGGATGTGATGGTGAGGAGAGGGTTAGTGTGGATGAGGTGAAGGGGTACGTGGTTGGAGGAAAGACGTGTCCATGCAGACAGGGATGGGGGAAAAGAGGTGGGTCGGTGTGAATATAGAGAAAGAAATGCTTCCACATGGATGGGTCAGGGCCATGGACAGGCAGTAGGGGCAGGCAGGAAAGAGAGATGGGTCAGCGTGGGTGGGGAGGGGAGGCTGGTTGGCATGGCCAGGGTGCTGTGGGAGTAGACAGAGCAGTGGAGGCAGGGACAAATAAAAGAGTAGCTGGAGAGAGCTGGGTGAGTCAAGATCAAGGTGTGCGGGTATGGGAGAAGAACGTGAGGCTGGGTGGGGTGGCTCAACACCTGTTATCCCAGCACTTTGGGAGGCTGGGGCAGAAGGACTGCTCGAACCCAGGAGTTTAAGACCAGCCTGGGCAACATAGTAAGATAATGACTCTACTAAGAAAAAAAAAAATACATAGGCCGGGCGCGGTGGCTCAAGCCTGTAATCCCAGCACTTTGGGAGGCCGAGACGGGCGGATCACGAGGTCAGGAGATCGAGACCATCCTGGCTAACACAATGAAACCCCGTCTCCACTAAAAATACAAAAAAATTAGCCGGGCGTGGTGGCGGCGCCTGTAGTCCCAGCTACTCGGGAGGCTGAGGTAGGAGAATGGCGGGAACCTGGGAGGCGGAGCTTGCAGTGAGCCGAGATCGCGCCACTGCACTCCAGCCTGGGCGACAGAGCGAGACTCCGTCTCAAAAAAAAAAAAAAAAAAAAAAAAAATACATATATATATATATATGGCTGGGCCTGGTGGCGTGTGCCGGTAGTCCCAGCTGCTCGGGAGGCCAAAGCAGGAGGATTGCTTGACCCTGGGACTTGGAGGTTGCGGCGAGCTGTGATGGTACCACTGCACTCTAGCTTGGGTGACAGAGCAAGACTCCGTCTCAAAAAAAAAAGGAATGCTGTAATCCCAGCACTTTGGGAGGCTGAGGCAGGTGGGTCATGAGGTCAGGAGATCGAGAACATCCTGGCCAACATGCCAACATGTTGAATCCCCGTCTCTACTAAAACTACAAAAATTAGCCAAGCATGGTGGCAGGCACCTGTAATTCCAGCTACTTGGGAGGCTGAGGCAGGAGAATCGCTTGAACCCAGGAGGCAGAGGTTGCAGTGAGCCGAGATTACACCATTGCACTCCAGCCTAGGTGACAAAAGCGAGACTCTGTCTCCAAAAAAAAAAAAAAAGAATGTGATAGAGGAGGTGAAATAACAATGAAAACACGGTACGGCAGTGACACAGCAGTGCGAACACAATAGGCAGAAGGAGTGTGGATGGAGCAGGACCGAGAACACACGAAGGCTGGGAATGGGTGCGTGGTGTGTGGGGTGAAGGCAGAGGAGATGAAATCAGTGTAGACAGCAAGAATGTGTGTGGCCAGAGAAGGTGAGAGTGAGTGTGGACGAGGTGTAGAGTATGACCGAGTCAGTGAGTCTAGAGGACAGAGAGGAGGACGCAGAGGTGCAGGAGGGTGCGTGTGGACAGAGGAGGTTAAACACAAGATGGGGAAGGAGGAGAAAGACAAGGCAGAAAGATAAGGACAGAGGAGGTGAGATGTTGATGAGGTGCCAGGAATAGCAGAGACAGTCCAAGGGTCCAGGCCTGGCCCTGCCCAAGCCTGGCTTGGGCCTTAGTATCCCCATCTGTGAAATGGGTATGGGCAGAGGAGTTCAAGCTCCACTCTTGCTTCCTCCTTCGCTGGTTGGGAGGCGAGGCTGCTCGCAGGAAGAGGAGGTCTGATGACAGAGCCGACCCAACCCCGGGACCTACTCTGACAACTGAGGGCTCTCCAGCTATCCCAGTCCCAGCCATGCCCTGGCAACTCACTGTGCACCACGAGGGCCTTCCATTGAAAAGGCCCCGCCTCAGTGTTACCAGATTTCCAGATTCCCAACAATCCAAGGAAATGACTGCCCTAAGGCCCCCCTGCTTGTTCTGCTAACAGTCCCCTGGGCCTGTCATAGGGTACAGGTTGCTTTGGTGATGGGCACAGAGCTGGAAGAGGCCCTAGGGCCAAGTGTGTAAGGAAGCAAGCCCTGTGGCCTGCTCTCTGTGTGTACAGTCCTCTGACCTTGGTCCCAATATTTGTACATGCCTTTCCCTCTTCCTGCAACACCCACACCCACCCACCCTTCCCTAGCTGACTCTATCTCACCCTTCAGGTCCCAGCAAACGATGTCACCCCCCTGGAGAAGCCCCCAAGACCACCCAGAGAGAAGCTGGTATTCGGTTGCTACTTGCTTCCTTTCCACGCTGTGTGATCATACACTTAACGCATTTGTTTGATCCATGTCTATTTCCGCAACTAGTTAGAAGCTCAGGGTCAAGGCCAGACCAAGAATCTATCATCCCAACAAAATCCCACTGCAATGCCCTCAGCCCTAACTCAAGCACAGGCTCAGGACTGCTGGGGGAGCACCATATTTTGAGTCCAAACTGCATCTGAAAAATTGGAGTGTTATCTTCATTTTACAAATGCAGAAACCGAGGCTCGGGAAGATGCATCCAATTGCTCAGAGCATGGGGTGAGCTCATAGCAGAGATAGGACCTGAACCCAGGTCTGTTTGGAGGCAAAGCCCTTCACTACACCAGGTACCTGGAAAGAGGCAGGGTAAGTAAGGGGAGCTCTTTGTCTTAAACGGGATAGGGGAGCCGAGAGGTTCCGGTCCAGCCCTTTGAGAATCCCATGATCTGGGTGGATTAAAGGGAGGTGAATAGGCCATGCAGGGCAGTGAGGTTATGGGTGACTGGATTTGCACTTCATTTGCATGCTATTTGCATATCATCCCTGTGCCTTCTGTCTCCATCTGAGACTGTGGCCTATGTGGCAGCAAAAGGCCAGTTAAGATGACCCAGCGATGCCTAAACACAGACTTCACAGCCCCACACAAAGGCAGGAGAGGGGTCTGCCACCTCCTTCAGGCAGCCCCCTTAGGTTAGTCAGATGCAGCCAGGAAGGTGGGAGGAGCTCATGCTGAGGTGGTGTCACACAAGTGCAGGGACAGGTAGGAAGGGCACCTGTCTGGGGTCGGCCCCACAGTAAGGGGGCGCCCGCCGCAGCACAGCCTTACTGCCTCCTGGAGCATAAGCGGAATTCACCCAGGAGTGTGAGCGATCGATGCCCTGGAGATACACGGAGAAGTGCTAGCATCCCCAGTGGAGGGCAGGGAAAGCAGCATGAAATACCAAGCGTGGACATGGTTCTGGACCATACATGTGCCCACGTATGTATCATCATACGTCCTGAAAATTCTGAAAAATGTGCCCACGTATGTATCATCATATGTCCTGAAAATCCTGAAAAATGTGCATATGTATGTAGGTCCATTGGGTGCATGCCTATACATACTTGTGTATGTGGGTCCATGGGTGCATGCATACACACCCCTGTACGTCTGTGCATGGGGTGCATGTGTATACACACCCGTATACGTATATGCACGAGGTGAATATGGACCCGTGTACATACAGGCACAGGGTGACTGTGTATATGCACCTGCGTAAGTAGAGGCATGGGGTGAATGTGTATATGCACCCGTGTCTGTATATGCATGGGGCGAACATGTATATGCACCCGGGTCTGTATATGCATGGGGCGAACGTGTATATGCACCCGGGTCTGTATATGCATGGGGCGGAACTGTATATGCACCTGTGTCTGTGTATGCGTGGGGCGAACGTGTATATGCACCCGGGTCTGTATATGCATGGGGCGAAAGTGTATATGCACCCGGGTCTGTATATGCGTGGGGCGAACGTGTATATGCGTGGGGCAAACATGTATATGCATGGGGCAAACATGTATATGCGTGGGGCGAACGTGTATATGCACCCGGGTCTGTATATGCGTGGGGCGAACGTGTATGTGCACCCGGGTCTATATATGCGTGGGGCGAACGTGTATATGCACCTGGGTCTGTATATGTGTGGGGCGAACGTGTATATACACCCAGGTCTGTATATGCGTTATGTGTGGGGTGAATGTGTATATGCACCTGTGTACATATATGCATGGGGTGAATGGTGTATATACACTTGTGTCCACACATTCATGGGGTGAACATATATATGTGCCCGTGTATATATATGCATACGGTGAACGTGCCCATGTTCCTGTGTAGGTATATGCAAGTGAGGGGTGAATGTGTATATGCACCTGTGGACATACATGCATGGGGTGAATGTGTATATGCACCTGTGTAGGCATATGCATGAAGTGAATGTGTATATGTACCTGCTACACTAGGTACATATTGCTCTTTGTTCAGCCACGCCAAGCTCTGCCATCGTCCTCGGGTCAGTCATGGAGTACAGAGCTCAGTACCAAGTCTGATCCATACCCCACAACCTGCGACAGCCCAGCCCAACTCTGCTGCCCAGAGTTATGCCTTCATCCATGTTGTCGTCTCTGTTGTTTCCCATGTTTCATCAGCAGAGATTCTTTGCCCACCCACACGGCAGCTACAACCACTAAGCCTGGAGATTCCAGGGCCCCCGTTGCCCTACCTTGCTGGCCAGGATGCGGGAAACCTCGTCATCCACAGAGCCAGGGGCCACGGCGAGGTCGGGGTTGCTGCTGCTGATGCTTTTGGAACGCGCCAGGTAGAGGCTTATGGGGCGACCAGAGCCACGGGCCAGTGTGGCAGCCTGCACTGTCACTGGAGGGGCCCCTGAGGATGGAGTGAATAGGGTCAACCATCCACCCACCTGATGTGATGCCTCCCAGTCCCTTCCTACTTAGCTAATCTTTGCAAAATCACTTTCCTTCTCTGACCTTCCAAATTCCTCATCTATAAAATAAGTATAATGACTGCCGCCTCACAGAGATTTGGGGGGCATTGAAAAACTGAGAATAGGCCAGGTACAGTGGCTCATGCCTATAATCCCAGCACTTTGGGAGGGCAAGCCAGGAGGATCACTTGAGCCCAAGAGTTCAAGCCCAGCCCAGCCAACATAGCAAGACTCTGTCCCTACAAAAAAATTAATGATGGCCGGGCGCGGTGGCTCAAGCCTGTAATCCCAGCACTTTGGGAGGCCGAGACGGGCGGATCACGAGGTCAGGAGATCGAGACCATCCTGGCTAAAACGGTGAAACCCCGTCTCTACTAAAAAATACAAAAAACTAGCCGGGTGAGGCGGCGGGTGCCTGTAGTCCCAGCTACTCGGGAGGCTGAGGCAGGAGAATGGCGTGAACCCGGGAGGCGGAGCTTGCAGTGAGCTGAGATCCGGCCACTGCACTCCAGCCTGGGCAACAGAGCAAGACTCCGTCTCAAAAAAAAAAAAAAAAAAATTAATGAAAAAATTAGCCGGGCATGGCAGTGCACACCTGTGGTTCCGGTTACTTGGAGAGGCTGAGGCAACAGGATTACTTTTTTTTTTTTTTTTTGAGATGGAGTCTCGCTCTGCCGCCCGGGCTGGAGTGCAGTGGCCGGATCTCAGCTTACTGCAAGCTCCGCCTCCCGGGTTTTCGCCATTCTCCTGCCTCAGCCTCCCGATTAGCTGGGACTAGAGGCGCCCGCCGCCTCGCCCGGCTATTTTTTTGTATTTTTTAGTAGAGACAGGGTTTCACTGTGTTAGCCAGGATGGTCTCGATCTCCTGACCTCGTGATCCGCCCGTCTCGGCCTCCCAAAGTGCAAGGATTACAGGCTTGAGCCACTGCGCCCAGCCGGCAACAGGATTACTTGAGCCCAGCAGTTTAAGGCAGCAGTGAGTTATGATCGTGACACTGCACTCTAGCCTGGCCGACAGAGTAAGACCCTGACTGTTCCTTTTTTGTTTTGAGAGAGTTTCGCTCTTGTCACCCAAGCTGGAGTGCCATGGCGTGAACTCAGCTCACTGCAACCTCTGCCTCCTGGGTTTAAGCAATTCTCCTGCCTCAGCCTCCTGAGTAGCTAGGATTACAAGCATGCACCACCATGCCCACCTATTTTTTTTTTTTTTTTTTTTTTTTTTTTTTTTTTGAGACGGAGTCTTGCTCTGTCGCCAGGCTGGAGTGCCGTGGCCGGATCTCGGCTCACTGCAAGCTCCGCCTCCCAGGTTTACGCCATTCTCCCGCCTCAGCCTCCCGAGTAGCTGGGACTACAGGCGCCCGCCACTTCGCCCGCTAGTTTTTTTGTATTTTTTATGGAGACGGGTTCACCGTGTTAGCCAGGATGGTCTCGATCTCCTGACCTCGTGATCCACCCGTCTCGCCTCCCAAAGTGCTGGGATTACAGGCTTGAGCCACCGCGCCCGGCCTTTTTTTTTTTTTTTTAATGAGACAGAGTCTTGCTCTGTAACCAGGCTGGAGTGCAGTAGGGCGATCTCGGCTCACTGCGACCTCTGCCTCCGGGGTTCATGTGATTCTCCTGCCTCAGCCTCCCGAGTAGCTGGGACTACAGGTATGCGCCACCATGCCCAGCTCATTTTTGCATTTTTAGTAGAAACAGGGTTTCACCATGTTGGCCAGGATGGTCTCGATGTGTTGACCTCGTGATCTGCCTGCCTCAGCCTCCAAAAGTGCTGGGATTACAGGCATTAGCCACTGCACCCGGCCTAATTTTTGTATTTTTAGTAGAGACAGGGTTTCACCATGTTGGCCAGGCTGGTCTCAAACTCCTGACCTCAGGTGATCCGCCCGCCTCAGCCTCCCAAAGTGCTGGGATTACAGCTGTGAGTCACCACGCCTGGCCAACCCCAACTCTTAAAAAAAAAAAAAAAGAAAAAAGAAAAAAGAAAAAAACCTTGAGAATAATGCCTGACACATAGGGGTTGGTGTTTATTTGGCAAATTAAAAAAAAAAAAAAAAAATCCAACTCTGTAGAGGGATTACCATTTTGTGCTAACCATTTTGTGTGGATTATGATGTCATTTACTATGACCAGCGCCCCCATGAGGTGGGTACTATTTTTTTTTTTTTTTTTTTTTTGAGACGAAGTCTCGCTGTGTCTCCCAGGCTGGAGTGCAGTGGCGTGATCTCGGCTCACTGCAAGCTCCGCCTCCCGGGTTCACGCCATTCTCCCGCCTCAGCCTCCCAAGTAGCTGAGACTACAGGCGCCCACCACCACGCCCGGCTAGTTTTTTGTATTTTTAGTAGAGACGGGGTTTCACCATGTTAACCAGGATAGTCTCGATCTCCTGACCTCGTGATCCACCCGCCTCGGCCTCCCAAAGTGCTGGGATTACAGGCTTGAGCCACCGCGCCCGGTCCGGAGGTGGGTACTATTATTACTGCTGTTTTGCAAAAGGAAAAACAGGCTCAGAGAAGTGACGTCACAAGCTCAAGGTCACAGAGATTGTAGGTGGCAGGGCCAGGATTCGCATCCAGGTGGTCCAGCTTCAGTCCCCGCTCCAAGCTACTGAAGAGGCTTGCTGACTGACTAAATCATTTTCCAGCCAAGCAAACAGAAACCACAGCCCAAGGATGGGGCAAAAGTGGGCAAGACATTATCTCTGTTGCAAGTTGCTCAAACCAGCCAAGGCCCGTGAGGCCTCAGGGCCTTTGCACATGCTATTCTCACTACTTGGATGCTCTTCTCCCAGATCTTTCTTTCCTTTTTTTTTTTTTTTTGAAACAGGGTCTTGCTCTGTAGCCCAGGCTGGAGTGCAGTGGTGTGATCTCAGCTCACTGCAACCTCCATTTCCCAGGTTCAAGTGATTCTTCTGCCTCAGCCTCCTGAGTAGCTGGGGCTATAGGCGTGTGCCACCACACCTGGCTAATTTTTTTTTTGAGACGGAGTTTCACTCTGTCACCCAGGCTGGAGTGCGGTGGCATGATCTTGGCTCACTGCAACCTCCGCCTCCCGGGTTCAAATGATTCGGCCCCCCTAGTAGCTGGGATTATAGGCACCTACCACCACACCTGGCTAATTTTTGTATTTTTAGTAGAGACGGAGTTTCACCACTTTGGCCAGGCTGGTCTTGAACTCCTGACCCCCTGAAGTGATCCACCTGCCTTGGCCTCCTAAAGTGCTGGAATTATAGGCATAAGCCACTGTGCCTGGCCCCAGCTAATTTTTGTATTTTTAGTAGAAACAGGGTTTCATCATGTTGGCCAGGTTGATCTCGATCTCCTGACCTCAAATGATCCATCCACCTCGGCCTCCCAAAGTCCTGGGATTACAAGTGTGAGCCACCGCACCCAGCCTCTTCTCCTAGATATTTCTTGTCTCCCAGGGATTTCTACGAACTCACCATCCGGAAGGCTGGGCTCAGTGCCAGGCAGGCGAAATGCGTAGTGGATGTAGGCAGCCAGCTGTGGGCAGTGACCGCGGGCATCCTGGGCTGCCTCCAGGCTCCGGTGGACAAGGCTGACTACGTGGGCCATTGCTTCAAAGGCTCCACGGCCCAGGTTCACTGCCGGGCAAAGCAGAGGTCAAGTTCCAGGGCCCAAGGCCTCTCACCTCCCCGCCCACTTTCCAAATATAAAGACATCAGGATTCGAGGGATCATGTGCTCATTAAAGGGTCACAGATTTTTTTTTTTTTAGATGGATTTTTGCTCTTGTTGCCCTGGCTGGAATGCAGTGGCATGATCTTGGCTCACTGAAACCTCTGCCTCTCAGGTTCAAGCAGTTCTCCTGCCTCAGCCTCCCGAGTAGCTGGGATTACAGGCACGTGCCACCACGCCCAACTAATTTTGTATTTTTAGTAGAGACGGGGTTTCTCCATGTTGGTCAGGCTGGTCTTGAACTCCTGACCTCAGGTGATCTGCCCGCCTCGGCCTCCCACAGTGCTGGGATGACAGGCGTGAGCCGCCGTGCCCAGCCAAAGGGTCACAGAAGACCTTCTCTGGGTGTAGGGGACTGGGGGTCATTTATCAGATGAGACAAATGGCCAGAGAGGTAAATGGACCTATAGAAGTTCCCTCAGGACCTCAGGACTGAGGAGCCATGTGCTGGATGGGGAAACTGAGGTCTGAGGCCACATCCGCTTACCAATCTGGCCACTGATGATCGGGGGCCTGACGACCAGACGCACGAGCTTGTCCAGCACGTGGTGGGAGAAGGCCACGAGGGGTTCGGGGCTGGCCAGGCGCAGTGCTGCAAGACTGGCCCGCAGCTCCTGCTCCACGTTGCCCTCGCTCAGCACAGCGTCCTTGAGCCGGAATGGGAAGGCCCCCTCCTCCAGGACATGCACCAGGGTGAAGAACTTGTCCAGGTGGGGGTCCTGGGTAGGGACGTGGAGTGAGCAGGGTGGGGCCCCAGGGGACGAAGACCACCCCCGCCTGAAAGCTGGGCCCAGCTGACCAAAGTCACGTCCAAGGCCCGAGGCCAGACCTCCCCAGCCAGCGGCAACTGTTACTCAATCCTAGGGCAGGCAAGAGGGGAGCAGGGCAGGACTCTTGGGTTCCCGCCCCACCCCGTACCTGGGGGTGCACAGAGGACACGGCCGTGAGCTCCACACTGAACACGCCCTTGTGACCGTCCACCCAGCGCATGCCCGGCAGCGCCACCTGTGGGAGGGAGGCACCGGGTGGGCACTGGTCAGCCCTCCCCGACTGATCAGGTCACCCAGCGGCCCCAGCCATTGCGACACTGTGGCGTGAGTATAGCCTGGTCTGGGGGTGCAACCAAGCACCCTGACTCCAGCCCTGGTCCCAGTAGACTGAGGGGGTCCACTGGGCAGGCTGGAAAACCCACATGCCAAGGAGGGGGACAGAGAACGGAGACACAGGGTGAATGAACACTCATTGAGTAGGTCAGAGTCATTAATGATGGTGCATTCATGGGGAATGATAAGGTACTGCGGGGGCAGGGGACAGTGATCAGGAAGGCAGGCAGGGTGCTAAAGTGGGAATGGAGCAGAGAGGCAACGGGAATCTTTGGGGAGGACAGGTAGGACACAGAGAGGCATTAATAGGGGGATAATGAGCTACACAGGGGCCCTGGAGGCACCAGTAGAGGCCAACAAGCCTCCCAGGATTGAAAGGAAGGAAGGCAGGTGACTCGGGAGTGCTTCTGGGGAGAGTGCATTGGCAGGCAGGCGCTCCGGGGCACATACATCGGGTGTGAGCACGGAATAGCTGGGCGGCGGCTGGTCCACGGACACTGGGAGACAGAAGGGGCCGGTCCTCAGGCGCCCATGCTGCAGCAGTGGGATCCACTGGGGAGAGGCTGGAGGTCAGGTCTGCGGCCAGGCTTGGGGACGAGGAGGGCTCAGGGGGAGGGAGGGAGGGAGGGGACGGCTCACAGTAAAGCCCACGGGCGTCTCCAGGGCAGTGCCCGGCCGGGGCTGGCAGCTGACGTGGTAGAAGGTGAACAGCAGGTGATGGTTCTCTGTCACGCAGGCTGGAAGATGCAGCTTGAACTCCTCGTAGAATTCAGGAGACCTGGGAGAATCAGGCTGGGGGATCTGCTGGGGGCTGGGCTCCCCACTGTCTGCCCCATCACCTCTGCCATGCCACACCTGCATTGCTGCTGGGCCTCACTGTCTCTGCTCTCTGCCTCTACTTCCCTCATTGGCACTCTGGGAGCCTCTACCTCTCTTCTTCTTCCTGCCCCGTCTTCTCATCGATGCTGCCCTATGTGTATATATAAGGGACATCCTCCTATCCCCATGAGTGCCCCCGAGTTCCTCACGTGTCCCCCTACATACTTGTTATGGTAGACCACCGGTGTGAAGGCCTCGCGGGTAAATTCACTGCAGCTGGACTTGCCAAAGATGACCTGGCGGAGTGGATGCATGAGGAACCCATGGGGGATGCCCTCCCCTCCTTCCCTGGGGTGCAGTCACTGACCGGCAGGGCCTGGCTGGGGTCCTCGCCTGTCATGTACTGCACTCGCACGGCAAGGTTGCGCACGGAGCCCTGGCGGCTGCTGAAGTTGAGGCTGTGCGGGTACACGTACAGCAGGTTCCTGTCGGGGGCAGGATGGGGGTGTCAGAGGAACAGGGCCCCTGAAGGTGCACATATGAGGCTGGGGTGATGGGACAAGGCTGGCTGGGAGCACAGACAGTCCGGGAAGAGTGGGTCATGAGGCTGGGGCATTCAGGGCCAGGTATCAGGCAGGAGATAGGACAGAGGGCAGAAGGTGGAGGACAAGTGAGTACCCTCAAAGCACGGATTGGGAACAGCGTGGTAGAGGGTGGGAACACAGAAAGACATCGGAGGCACTCGTGGACACAGTGACACACAGAAGGCAGAGAAGAACGAAGCACTTGGGGCCAGAGTTCCAAGGTGGCTCAGGTGGCCAGTGGTCAAGCCTAAGCCCCACCCAAGGGCCTGACTGCCCTTCCCCTAGGAGGTCACTAGAATTATGTGGCCTATTTCTCAGGTGCGGAAACTGAGGCCAGAGTCAGAGTCCTGCCCCCTTCCCCCAGGGGCAACTCTGTGCAAGCCTTGACCTCTCTCTGGCCTCAGTTTCCCTGTGTGTATAATGGGCACTTCAGGCCTTCCAGCTGAGCCTTTGTAACGATACTGATGATGATAAATAACAACAATGACAATAATTGCACCAAACACTATTACTACAACAATACAATAATTGCACCTACTGTGTGCCAGGCTCTGTTCTAAGCACTCAACATGAAATCACTCATTTACTTCTCACAAGTAGCTCATGAGGCAGGACTAACATCACCACCATTTTACAGAAAGGGAAACTGAGGTACTTGCACAATCTGCCAGGGAGTAAAATGGCAGTCAGTGGTGATCTGGGTATATGCAGGTCTTGGAGATGAGGCTGTGTGACCTTGGGAGAGTCTCTGCCACCTGCACCTGCCCCCTTGGCTACTAACCAGGCCAATAAAAGCCCTCAATGCTTATAAAATCTTCACTATTGGCCGGGCATGGTGGCTCAAGCCTGTAATCCCAGCACTTTGGGAGGCCGAGACGGGCGGATCACGAGGTCAGGAGATCGAGACCATCCTGGCTAACATGGTGAAACCCCGTCTCTACTAAAAAATACAAAAAACTAGCCGGGCGAGGTGGCGGGCGCCTGTAGTCCCAGCTACTCGGGAGGCTAAGGCAGGAGAATGGCGTAAACCCGGGAGGTGGAGCTTGCAGTGAGCTGAGATTCAGCCACTGCACTCCAGCCTGGGCAACAGAGCGAGACTCCGTCTCAAAAAAAAAAAAAAAAAAAATCTTCACTATTATTACCATCATCATTGCGATGCCTATTCATAGATGGAGAAACAGGCTCAGCATGGTGCGTCTCAGGAACTCCCAGCGGGGTCTGGGGCCCATCCTTTCCCAATGCCCCCCACCCACACCGGGCCCTGAGCCCCAGGAAGCGTGATCCCGGCGTGGCCCAGCCGGACATTCGCATGATGCAACTATCGCACCACCGCCAGGCCCTTGTGCAATGTGGGGCACCCGGCTGGCCAGTTAACGATTGACTGGGGATCAGTGGGGGTGTGAGACATAAAAGGCTTCAGTGGCGGTGCTGTGGCTACACACTCAGACCCTCAGTCATGCTAGTGCCTGCTCTGTGCCTGCTGTGGGCCCTGGCAATGGTGATCCAGCCTGCCTCAGCGGCCCCCGTGGGCAGCCCAGAACTGGCAGAGCATGAGGAGCTGACCCTGCTCTTCCACGGGACCCTGCAGCTGGGCCAGGCCCTCAATGGTGTGTACAAGACCACGGAGGGACGGCTGACAAAGGCCAGGAACAGCCTGGGTCTCTATGGCCGCACAGTGGAACTCCTGGGGCAGGAGGTCAGCCGGGGCCGGGATGCAGCCCAGGAACTTCGGGCAAGCCTGTTGGAGACTCAGGTGGGCACCACAGCTGCGACACTGTGGGGTGGCCAGGAGTTCGAAGAGGAGTTCATGTCTAGGGTAACCAACCATCCTGGTTTGCCCAGGACTGAGGGGATTCCTGGGATACAAGATTTTCAGCAATAAACTCAGGCAAATCCTTAGGTACACAAAGATGAGTTGGTCATCCTACTAGTGACCCCCTGTTTATTAAGCAGATGGAGGAGGATATTCTGCAGCTGAAGGCAGAGGCCATAGCCGAGGTGCTGGAGGAGGTGGCCCAGGCACAGAAGGTGCTACAGGACAGCGTGCGGCGGCTAGAAGTCCAGCTGAGGAGCGCCTGGCTGGGCCCTGCCTACCAAGAATTTGAGGTCTTAAAGGTAAGGGGCTCCCCCAGCCCTAGCAGGCTGAGACCCTGATCCCCGGCCAGAACTCGCTTCTGCACCTAAGTCCCAAAGACCTCCCAGATCAGCCTCCCAGCTCTGTGGCCTCTACTCTGCATATCCCCAGACAAAAACCAAGTCCTTTTGTGTGCCTCAGTTTTCCATTTGCAAATAAGGGCAATACCTGGTGTCTCACAGTAGGGCCAGGTACTCAATGCAGGTGAAATATTCAGCATGGGGCGGGCACACAGTTGGCGCTCAATAAATTCTTTTTTTTTTTTTTTTTTTTTTTGAGACGGAGTCTCGCTATGTCGCCCAGGGTGGAGTGCAGTGGCCGGATCTCAGCTCACTGCAAGCTCCGCCTCCCGGGTTTTTACGCCATTCTCCTGCCTCAGCCTCCCAAGTAGCCGGGACTACAGGCGCCCACCACCTCGCCCGGCTAGTTTTTTGTATTTTTTAGTAGAGACGGGGTTTCACCGTGTTAGCCAGGATGGTCTCGAACTCCTGACCTCGTGATCCGCCCGTCTCGGCCTCCCAAAGTGCTGGGATTACAGGCTTGAGCCACCGCGCCCGGCCTTTTTTTTTTTTTTTTAATCAGACAGAGTCTCACTGTCACCCAGGTTGGAATACGGTGGCATGATCTTGGCTCACTGCAACCTCCACCTCCTGGGTTCAAGTGATTCTCCTGCTTTAGCCTCCAGAGTAGCTGGAATTACAGGTGCGCCAGCTAATTTTTGTATTTTTAGTAGAGATGGCATTTCACCATTTTGGCCAGGCTGGTCTCGAACTCCTGACCTCAAGGGATCTGCCTACCTTGGTTTCCCAAAGTGGTGGGATTACAGGTGTGAGCACCTGGCCAATAAATTCTTACTACTAGAGAAACTAGTAATATTTTGTAAGCACCCAATAAGTACCCAGCACTGTTCTATGCCCTTTAATAATCCATACAATGGCCGGGCTTGGTGGCTCACATCTGTAATCCCAGCACTTTGGGAGGCTGAGGCGGGTGGATCACTTAAGGTCAGGAGTTGGAGACCAGCCTGGCCAACACGGTGAAACCCCGTCTCTACTAAAAATACAAAAAATTAGCTGGGCCTGGTGGCACGTGACTGTAGTTCCAGCTACTCAGGAGGCTTAGGTAGGAGAATTGCTTGAACCCGGGAGGCGGAGGTTGCAGTGAGCTAAGATCATGTCACTGCATTCCAGCCTGGGTGACAGAGCGAGACTTTGTCTCAAAAAAAAAAAAAAAAAATCCATACGATGTTTATCACCTCCCCATGAAGTGAGTCCTATTTTATCCCCATTGTACAGATGGAGAAACTGAGGCCAAAGAGCATTGCTGACTTGCTGGGTCACACAGATACAATAGGGGGGCCAGGGCAGGGGGTCAGGAGATGGGAGGTGAGGTGGCCGTCAGCTGAGGTTTCCATTCTGACCCCCACAGGCTCACGCTGACAAGCAGAGCCACATCCTGTGGGCCCTCACAGGCCACGTGCAGCGGCAGAGGCGGGAGATGGTGGCACAGCAGCATCGGCTGCGACAGATCCAGGAGAGGTGAGCCTGGCGGGGGTTTGGGAGGCAGGGCAGTTGGATGGGGGGTGCACAGGGCAGCTGAAAAGGGGCCCCCTCACCTGGGATGAACCACATCTCCCTCCCCAGAATCCACAAAGCGGCGCTCCCAGCCTGAATCTGCCTGGATGGAACTGAGGACCAACCATGCTGCAAGGAACACTTCCACGCCCCATGAGGCCCCTGAACAGGGAGGAGCTGCCTGTTCACTGGGATCAGCCAGGGCGCCCGGCCCCACTTCTGAGCACAGAGCAGAGACAGACGCAGGCAGGGACAAAGGCAGAGGACGTAGCCCCATTGGGGAGGGGTGGAGGAAGGATGTGTACCCTTTCATACCTACACACCCCCCTTATTAAAGCAGAGTCGTGGCATCTCACCCAGGGTGTCTGTGTGTGTCCTCGGCTTAGGGAGACCCACACCCAGCATGATGTACGAATACCTCACAGTCAAGTGCCCAGCTGGGCCCCAGATGCCGTACCTATAGCTGGTATGGGGGGCGTAGACTTCGCGAGCAGGGAACTCCAGGATCTCCTTGGTGGGCCGGCCCCTGGGGTCCGGGTAGGGCTTGATATGAAGCAGCTCGGGGGAGAGGCAGAAGTGGGGATTTTCCGGAGCTGGAGAAATGTCGATCTTGAGCTGGGCTGGGAAGGGAAGAACCGGTTTGCACCTGCCCGGGAGCCTCCCGGCCCAGTCCACCCTGTCTGGGCTGTGGAGTCAGGGCAGGCTCTCCCACGATGTTCTCTGCGGACGGGGGGCTGTGTCCCTCAGGTGCCAAGTCCAGAGATTGCCCTCAACTCTGCTGTCTCTCATCCTACAGTTTGTTTTTGTTTTTGTTTTTCTTTTTAAGTGGAATCGGGCTCTGTGGCCCAGGCTGGAGTGCAGTGGGGCGATCTTGGCTCACTGCAACCTCTGCCTCCCCAGTTCAAGTGATTCTCCTGCCTCAGCCTCCCAGGTAGCTGGGATTACAGGTGTGTGCCACCACACCAGGTGAATTTTTGTATTTTTAGTAGAGACGGAGTTTCACCGTGTTGGCCAGGCTGGTCTCAAACTCCTGACCTCAAGTGATCTGCCCACCTCGGCCTCCCAAAGTGCTGGGATTACAGGTATGAGCCGCTGCACCTGGCCCCCAGGCTGGTCTTGAGCTCCTGCACTCAAACGATCTTCCTCCTGCCTCAGTATCCCAAAGTATTGGGGTTACAGGCTTGAGCCACTGCACCCCAGCCTTACCCCTACATTTGATCAACTCTGCCCCCAGGACCCCTGCCTGCCCTGCTGCCATTATCCAACCATTATCCGCCCTATATCCATCTTATTAATTCTGCTTCTTGTCTATGGTCCTCATTAGAAGGCACAGTTAGCCCCCGAGGTCAGGGATTTGTCTATCAAGGTCACGGTTGGGTCTCTGATGCCCCTGGCACAGTAGGTGCTCTCGGTGTAGGTTTGTTGAGTGACTGAGTGAGAGTGATACTTCTTGTGTACGGGGTGTGCCACGCACCAGTCACAGGACGTAGTCGCCGCAGCAGGGACGACGGGCGCCTCATGTCAGCCAGGAACTTGAAGAGGTCCTCGTCACTAAGTCGCTCAGCCTCCTACATGGGACCCGCTCCCGTCAGCCTGGGCCGGGGGGCTAGGGGTCCCCAGGGCTGATGCAGCCAGCGGGGAGAGGGGGAGTCCCTGGCCCCGGGGTAGGACACCTGCTTAAAGAAGTTTGTGACAGTTAGCGTGGCTGGGCGGAAGCCAGAGAAACTGCAGGCGTCGTCCCCACTACTCGCCCGGTCCTGGGGCCCCCGACGGCGGCGGTCTGTCCAAGCTGACCGGCGCTCTAGAGGAGGGAGTGACAATGACAAAAGGGGGACCAAGATGAAACAAGGAGACTCAGGGGCGGCACAGTTCGGCCAGCAGAGGGCGCACCCCACTCGCTCCGTAGCCCCGCCCCAGGCCTGTCAGCACCACCCTTTAGCCCCGCCCCGATTCCCGCCCCAGGGCTGTTAGCCCCGCCTCCTCACCGCCCTCCGAGTCAGAGTCCCGGTCCAGCTGCCCAGCGCTGCTCACGATGTTGGCCAAGTGCACGGCCGTCCAGGCAAAGGGCATGCGGTAGCGGCCCAGGCGGGTGCAGAACTGCTCAGCCGCCAGACGCAGCTTCTCTAGCTTCTCTTTGTTCTATGGGGAGACCCCCGTCCCCTGCCAGCTCAGCATCCTAGCCCTGCTGAGTCAGGAATCTGGCCTGCCCCTGGTTCAGCCCCCACACACTTACCTTGGCTGTGTCTACTTCTTTCATCACCATGTAAGGCTCACAGCACTCACTGATGTCCCCTTGCTGAAGCACCTTCTCCAACTGCGGGGCAGATGAATGAATCCAGTGAGGCGCCGCCCGAACGCTCTGTTCCCTCCTACTGACTCCCCAGCCTCCAGGACCCCTCATGGGCCCTCAGACACTCCTATCATATGAAGGCTTTTGCTCCAACACCTCCCATGGCTCCCACTGTCCTTAGGATCAAGGGTTAGTGCTTGACCTGCCTGGTGGCTACTCCCTCCCATTCTTAAGATCCACTCCCAAACTCCAAGCCCACCTTTAGCTGGTAATATTTTCCCTACATTTACTTATTTATTTACATTTATGTATGTATGTATGTATGTATGTATTATAGAGACAGGGGTCTCGCTATGTTGCCCAGGCTGGTCTCAAACTCCTGGGCTCAAGTGATGCCCCCACCTCTGCCTCCCAAAGTGCTGGGATAACAGGCATGAGCCATCACGTCCCCGGCTTGCCATGCAAATTTTTTTTTTTTTTGAGATAGAGTCTTGCTTTGTCGCCTAGGCTGGAGTGCAGTGGCGTGATGTCCGCTCACTGCAAGCTCCGCCCCCTCCGGGTTCATGGCATTCTCCTGCCTCAACCTCCTGAGTAACTGGGACTACAGGCGCCCGCCACCACACCTGGCTAATTTTTTTGTATTTTTAGTAGAAACAGGGTTTCACCATGTTTGCCAGGATGGTCTCGATCTCCTGACCTCGTGATCCGCCCACCTTGGCCTCCCAAAGTGCTGGGATTACAGGTGTGAGCCACCGCGCCCGGCCTTTTTTTTTTTTTTTTTTTTTAAGACAGAGTTTCCCCTGTTGCCCAGGCTGAAGTGCGTGGTGGGATCTCAGCTCACTGCAACCTCTGCCTCCTGAGTTCAAGCGATTCTCCTGCCTCAGCCTCCTAAGTAGCTGGGATTACAGGCATGACCCACCACACCTGGCTTTTTTTTTTTTTTTTTTTTTTTGAAATGGAGTCTCGCTCTATCACCCAGACTGGAATGCAATGGTGCAATCTCGGCTCACTGCAACCTCTGCCTCCCGGGTTCAAGCAATTCTCCTGCCTGAGCCTGAACAGTAGCTGGGATTACAGGCACCTGCTACTACGCCAGCTAATTTTTATATTTTTAGTAGAGAATGGGTTTCACCATGTTGGCCAGGTTGGTCTCGAACTCCTGGGCTAAAGCGATCCTCCGGTCTCAGCCTCTCAAAGTGCTAGGACTACAGTCATGAGTCACCGTGCCTGGCCTTCCCTACATTTTTCTTTGTTAGTGTAAACAGAGGCCACTCTGGACATGGCTCTGAGCCATGAGGCCTAGACTCCAATCCTGACCACTCAGGGGCTGTGAGACCCTGGGCAGTGGGACCCTAGCTACTCTGTGCCTCAGTTTCCCCAATGGGAGCCATAGCACCCCTCCACCTTGGGGCCTGTGGTGAGGACTGAAGGTGGGATCCCTGTGAAGCGTGACCGTAGCAGCACCTGCCTGTGGACACATCATTGCAACCTAATTGAAGATTTTGAGAAAAGCAACTTGTCCTCACTCCCAGAAACAGAAAATCTCACATGAGGGTGCCAACTAGGTCTTTCATCTGTCCATAAACTTCCCAACAGCATCTCACCTGCCTCCGAGGACCCCAGCCTGTCACATGTGCCCAGGGATGGTTTTTCTTCCCAGGCTGCCCACTTATGGTTCTCAGCTCAACTGTCGCCTCTCCCTGGAAGCCCTCGGTGATTTCTCCCCACCTGAGTTGGGTTAGGGACCTCCTCCTGGCCTGTGTGACCCCGGCAACAACCCTGATTACCCTTCTTGGTGATGTATCTGTTTCATTCTGTGAAGGCAGGGACTGAACCAGTGACAGGCATTCGGTATTACCACCCCCTTGCCCAGCCCCAGCAGGCACCTTGATGACCAGGAAGATGTCAGGTGAGGGGTAGGTCACGGAGAAGATGGCAGAGCGGGCCAAGGTGGAGATGGCAGGGTGGGTGCCATGAGCCCGAAGCAGCCCCTTTATGGAGTCCGAGTTCAGGTCGAAGTAGAAGTTCTCCGAGATCTGGGGACACCAGAGGCAGCTGGGCCACTACCTCTGGGAAGCCCACAGCCCCCCAACAAGGAGGAGGAAGGGGAGGAAAGAGAAAAAAGGGGCTCCTACCTTCTTTTTCTCCCGCACGTCATACAGAGCCAAGATCCCAAAGATGGGCTCAATTTCAATCTCAAACCTACAAGTAAATGGGAGGGAGGGGGTTCTCCTTAATACTTCCCGCCATCCACACACCCCACTCCCTCTTGGGGCCCAAGGTGGAGGGCATCTGACTCCCACTGGGCCACATGGAACCGCCGCTTAAGGGCTTACAGAAAAGGTACATCTCATTTTGCAAAAGGGGAAACTGAGGCACTAAAGTTTTTTTTTATTGTTTTTTTTGAGACAGAGTCTTGCTCTTTTGCCCAGGCTGGAGTGCAGTGGCGCGATCTTGGCTCACTGCAACCTCTGCCTCCTGGGTTTAAGCAATTCTCCTGCTTCAGCCTCCTGAGTAGCTGGGACTACAGGCACGTGCCACCACGCCTGGCTAATTTTCTGTTTGTTTTTTCTTTTTTGAGATGGAGTATCGCTGTCTCACCCAGGCTGGAGTGCAGTGGTGCGATCTCAGCTCACTGCAAGCTCCGCCTCCCGGGTGCATGCCATTCTCCTGCCTCAGCCTCCGAGTAGCTGGGACTACAGGTGCCCACCACTGCGCCCGGCTACTTTTTTGTGTTTTTAGTAGAGATGGGGCTTCACTGTGGTCTCGAACTCCTGACCTCGTGATCCGTCCACCTCGGCCTCCCAAAGTGCTGGGATTATAGGCATGAGCCACTGTGCCCGGCCAATTTTTTGTGTTTTTAGTAGAGACAGGGTTTCACCATGTTGGCCAGGCTGGTCTCGATCTCCTGACCTCGTGATCCGCCCATCTCGGCCTCCCAAAATGCTGGGATTACAGGTGTGAGCCACCGTGCCCGGCCGACACTGAAACTTTTTTTTCCTCCTTCCTACACCCTTAGTAAGTAACTCACACAGAGTTCCTCCTCCCTGCAACCACAGCCCTTTTTCATTTGGCATGGGGGCAGTTTTGGGCTCAACAATCCCCACATCTTGAAATTCTCAACTTCTGGGCTTCCCCGTCTCTCCTCTCTGGGGTGTCATCTGCCACCACTGTCACGCTGCATGGAGTTCCCATCTCGCTCACCTGAATGGCCACCATAAGTCCTTCCCTGTCTTACTCTACCTTGCTGGCCTCCACTCACCATGCACCTCCAAACTGAAACACTGAGCGCTCCCCGTTACATCCCTTCCATCCTCTCTATTCAGCCAGCTCCTCTTCCTCACTGAGTCTCCACGTACACGTCCCTCTGCAAGGGAAGCTGTCCCAGATACCCGCTCCTACCCCTCAAGCTGGGTCAGGAGCCTCCTCCAGGACTCTACACACTTTCAGTGTCACTTATCCTGGCTCTGTGTGGTCATTACATGGTTATGTGTCCTGTATATGGTAGGGACTTCATAAATGGTTTTTTTTTTGTTTGTTTTTTGAGGCTGGAGTGCAGTGGCACAATCTCAGCTCACTGCAACCTCCGCCCTCCGGGTCAAGTGATTCTCCTGCCTCAGCCTCCTGAGTAGCAGGGATTACAGGTGCCTGCCACCACGTCTGGCTAATTTTTTTTTTTTTTTAGTAGAGATGGTGTTTTGCCATGTTGGCTAGGCTGGTCTCAAAATCCCGGGCTCCGGTGATCCGCCTGCCTCGCTTCCCAAAGTATTAGGATTACAGGTGGGAGCCACCGCGCCCGGCCAGTAAGTGTTTGTTGAATGACTGGATGAGCCCACAGAGCCAGTTCCCAATCCTTGCGTTTAGGGCAGGAGGCCCACCCAGGCCTCAGGCCAGCATGGAGCCTCCCTTTCCTGCCCCGATCCAGGCAGGAACTCGGGGTGGGGAGAGGCAGGGCCAGGCTCAGGTCCAAGTCCACATCCTGTTCAACTCTGTTCCCACGCACTTCTGCTGCTCCCTGGGGGCTGGTGTGGAGGGGGCTGAGAGCCAGGCCCAGGGTCACTAGCACCCGCCCCAAAGCCTCCCAGCCAAACCCTGGATCCCAGCAGCAGGGCCGGCAAGCGCCAGACTCCAGCCTCACAAGTTGTATGGTCTTGGCACCATGATGTTACCACTCTGTGCCTCAGTTTCCCCACCTTTGCCCACTTCATGAGGTTGTGGTGAAGATTAGATGGGTTCATATACATGAAAGGCTGAGAACTGATCCTGGCATACAATTGGCACTTAAGAATTGGCGACTTGGGATAACGAAAAAGGAAGTCTTACTTCCCCCTGTAAAAGTCCACAGGTGGCCACATAGGTGACAGGGCTGCACACGGTAATGGCACTGCTCATGTAGTGTGTACCCCACCGGAACCCACACGGTCCTTTCACGCATCTAAGAAGAGGGATACATCGGTACACTCACTTGAGTGACAGACACTTGACCAAGATCCTCTGTCCAAAGTGCTCGCGGGGTGGCTCTGGGTGGCTACAGCGTTCCACGGCTTCGTCCTGCCAAGAGTCGGGGGCAGGAGCTGCGGGGGAGCAGCTGGGACATCCTCCAGGAAGGGTCTGGAATGCCCAGCTTCAGACCAGCTCTACCCCAGCCTGACTAACCGTCTTTCTGTCCCTGCCTCTGAGCCTTTACACATGCTGTTCCCGTGCCTGGAATGCCCGTCTTCTCCCGCTCCTCCTTGTCTGGCTAATGTCTGCTCACTGTTCATATATACTTCTGCTATATAGAGGTACATAGTAGGTGTCCATGTATAGAAGTTTTTTTTTTTTTTAAATGGAGTCTCACTCTGTCGCCCATGCTGGAGTGCAGTGGTGTGATCTTGGCTCACTGCAACCTCTGCCTTCCAGGTTCATGTGATTCTCCTGCCTCAGCCTCTGGAGTAGCTGGGATTGCAGCTTAGCCAACCCTTCCTCCAGGAAGTCCTCCATGATCCCTGAGGGCTGGGCAGGAACCTCTTCAAGTGCCCAAAATGTCCTAGTGTAAGGAGCCATGGTGGCTGGGACACTGAGGACCGTGTGAGGGACAATTACCAGCACCTCATCATGGCACTACTCTGTCTGGGTTATAAGCTCCTAGTAGAGAGGTCTCTCTTCCACCAGTGAACTCTGAAGGCAGGGACTGGGTCTCTCTATCCATGGCTATATCTCCAATGCCAACAATACAGTGGGTACCCAAACATGTTAGTCAAATTATTATAGAGGTATACAATAGGTACCTACTAAAAGTTGGTTGGATGAACATAAGCACATACAGAAAGCATCCAATAAATGCTGATTGGCGAAATAGGGATATATACCCAATGAGGCACCCAATAAGTACTGATTGAATAAATATGGGTGTGTATAGTAAGCACTCAATAAATGGCTAAATACAAACACAGGAGTATACACTAGGTACCAAATAAGTGTTGGTTGGATAAAAATAGGCATATGTGGTAGGTGTTCAATAAATATTGGTTGATTAAATAGAGAACTATACAGTAGGCATTCATGTATTGAATAAATATAGGGATATACAGTTTGTACCCAATACATGCTTGTTGGATAAATAATTTTTAAAAATTTATTTTCTGGCCGGGTGCAGTGGCTCATGCCTGTAATCCCAGCACTCTGGGAGGCTGAGGTGGGTGGATCACAAGGTCAGGAGTTTGAGACCAGCCTGGCCAACATGTTGAAACCCCATCTCTACTAAAAATACAAAAATTAGCCAGGCATGGTGGCGCACGCCTGTAGTCCCAGCTACTCAGGAGGCTGAAGCAGAAGAATCACTTGAATCCAGGAGGTGGAGGCTGCAGTGAGCTGAGATCGTGCCACTGCACTCCAGCTTGGGCGACAGAGCGAGACTCATCTCAAAAAAAAAAAATTTATTTTATATATGTTTTTACCTTTCCTATGGTGTTGATGGTTGGATAAATATAGGAGTATATAGTAGGTGTCCACATATAAAAGCTATTGAATAAACTTAGGAGATACAGTAGGTGCCCACTAAATGCTGGTTAGCTAACTATAAAAGTATACAGTAGGTGTCCATATACAGAAGCTATCTTTTTTTTTTTTTTTTTGAGTCTCGCCTCAGCCTCCCAAAGTGCTGGGATTACAGGTATGAGCCACCACGCCCAGCCAGAAGCTACTTTTTTTGTTTTTGTTTTTGTTTTTTTTGAGACAGAGTTTTGCTCTGTTGTCCAGGCTGGAGTGCAGTGATGGTGATCTCAGCTCACTGCAGCCTTGGCCTCCCGGGTTCTGGCGATTCTCATGCCTCAGCCTCCTGAGTAGCTGGGATTACAGGCACCCGCCACCATGCCTGGCTAACTTTTGTATTTTTAGTAGAGATGGGGTTTCGCCATGTTGACTGGTCTTGAACTCCTGGCCTCAAGTGATCTGCCCACCTTGGCCTCCCAAAGTGCTGGGATTACAGGCCTGAGCCACCATGCCTGGCCTAGAAGCTATTGAATAAGCATAGGGTATACAGTAGGCACCCAATACATGCTGGTTGGATAAATATAGGGGTATATAGCAGGTGTCCACGTATAGAATCTAATAAACATAGGATATACAGTAGGTGCCCAATAAACGCTGATTAGATTACTATAGGGGTATATAGTAGATGTCCATCTATAGAAGCTATTGAATAAACATGAAGTATACAATAGGCACCCAGTAAAAGCTGGTCGGCTGATATCTGGGAAGGGGCACCTACCTCGTCAGGCGCCGGGTAGAGGGTAAGCAGGGCCGGGGGCCGGTGCTGCCGTCGAAGGCTTTCATTGCGCCGGTCCACATCTTCTGGGGCCGCCCGCTCTAGCAGCGAGGGCAGCAATGAGTCAGCTGCCAGGTTCCTCAGGTCGAAGATGCTAGAGGCACCACTGCTTCGAGGGGTGTCTTCCGGGGAGCCTGAGCCGCGCCGGGAGTCATTCTGCCAGTGGACAATGCGCAAGCACTGAGTGCCAGCTGTATACACCCTCACCACACTCTGGTGAGAGTGTCCTCAAACTCATTCTAGAGATGGGGAAATTGAGGGTCAGGGGCTGAGGGTCATCACTCTAAGGATCACGTGGGGGTTTTGCCTACCCTCTTTCCAGAAACTTCTGTCTGGAGAGCCTCCCAATTTTTACCATTGTTGTGGGAGGCTACTCTTTATCCCACATTTGGGGCTTCAGGTGATTCTTATCTGGCCAATCAGAACACATCCACCCACCCTAGGGACTGGCTCCAAGGGCCTGGGCTGGGCCAATGAGAGCCTTCCCTGGGACTTTGTTCACTGTTGCCAGGGAAGGAGAGAGTTCTTCCTGACCTTCCTGCACTGGATCAAATCTCAGCTCAGCTCTGTGACACTGAGTCTCTGACCCCCAACTCTAAGGGCCTCAGTTTCCCCATGTACATCTAAACATAATAACAAAATTAGCCGGCATGGTGGCCCATGCCTGTAATCCCAGCTACCCAGGAGGCTGAGGTGGGAGCATCGCTTGAACCCAGGAGGTGGAGGTTGCAGTGAGCTGAGATTGTGCCACTGTACTCCAGCCTGGGTGACAGAGTGAGACTCCATCTCAAAATAATTACTTACTTAAAATAATAATAATAATGAAAACAACAATAATCTTTGGAATAATTACGGTTGGTATACAGTAAGTGCCCAGTAAATGTTGACTGACAAAATACAGGCTCAAGGCCTCTAAGAACCTTGCTGTGCCTCAGTTTCCTCACCTGGGTGTAATGGCTGCCCTGACTCCTAGGATGAAAGGAGAGGACACATATAAAGCCTTTAGTATACCCTAAGCACTCAATAAATGTTTACAATTATGACCCCTAACTTTTTACTCATGGGGACTGATGCAATTCCTTTTGAGCTCAAGACTGTTTGGGTCATTTCCTGTCACATGTGACCAAAACCTGAGACTGGAGCCTCCACACATACCCCTTCAGTGACCCCAGCCAGGGAATTCCTCACCGAGTCCTCAGGGCCGGACCTCTCGTCTCCAGAAGCATCCTGCTCAAAGACCTGGCGGGGGAGGCCCTTCTGTCGCTCTCGCTGTGTCTCCGTGGTGACGGGGCTGTATGCTGCACTCAGGTACTGATACCTAGCAGGAAACGGGGCTGGGCAGGTAGGGAGGGCTGAGGGCCCCCAGGGGCTCCCCAGTGTGTTCCGACACACCTACTCGGCCCCTACGAAGCCACCCTCCTCGTGCTCCACCTGACAAGTTTGCCTGCTCTTGCAGGGACAATGGGCAGATACACAGTAGGACCGGCTGCAGACATCAGCTCAGCCCTTTTGGGTTCCGAACCCCCTGAGCTGCCCCCAAGTCAGACTCACCTTCTGTGGACGATGACCCAGTCCTCGATATACATCTCCACCGCGGCCCTCACCTGAGCATCCAGTTTTCTGCAGTAAAAGAAGATCAGGGTAAACAGAGGCAGGGTCTCTGCGAATCCTTCTGCTAGCCTGTAAGGTTAGCACTGTCCTGCCTATTCCAGACAGGGGGAGACGGAGGCTCAGAGAAAAAGCATGGCTTGTCCAAGGTCACGGCCCAGCCAGGAGCTGAACTCGGGCGGTTGACGTGGATGGCAGAGACAGAGTGGAATCACAGGCCGAGAGGGTGTGGGGCTACCCACTCATCCTTGGGGATCCCGGGCTCTGTGGTCCGGCATTCCCGGGGCTGCAGCAGCAGCTCCAAGTCGTCAGCTGGGAATTCGACCAGGTCCCTGAGGGGCCCGGGCTCAGCGTCTGGTGGCCGACTCAGAAGTACATCCTCAAAGTCCAGGGGCTCGACAACTTCAGTCAGTGGGACCTGGATTGGAGCAAAGTGGCTGTGATCACACTGCCCTGGAGGCTGAGAGTGGAGGCGTGAGGCAGGGGTGGGTGCGTGCTGGCTTCAAACTCAAATAGGAGGGCGGTGGGAGCCATGGAGGGTGTTGGAGCTACGGAGGAGCCATGGAGGAGGGTGACCTCAGACTCTCCACCCCCACCTCAGCTTTCCCTGCCCTGCCCCTCCCTCCAGGGGCTCCAGGAAGGAAATCACACCCCATGCCTGGAAGGGCAGAAACTAACAGTGGAAGGAAAGAAATGTTGACAGAGGCCAGGCAAGACACAATTCCTAAATCCCTCCCAACCCTCTGGGCAACATGGATGGCCCCACGCCTCTTAGGCGAAAGCCACTCCCGTCCCCAACTTCCCTCCTCCATCCCCATCTGGGTGGTCCAGGTGGCTGGAGGTGGGGGACATCAGCGGGGAGCCACTCCCTCTGGACCACCCACAGGGTGACAAGCAGCTGCAGGGAGAGTGGCCACAGGAATTGGTGACAGTACGAGGACCAGGGCAGGGACTCCCCCCCCGACACTGCTGGGTCTCTCTTGGTTTCCCCATAGGACAGGCCACAGGAGGGAGGGGGTGGGATAGAACCTAGGCCAAGGAAGCCCCTACCTCTGTCTGAGAGAAGGCAGGGGGCTGGAGGTAGACCCCCCAACTACTTACCCCCAGGGAGCTACTGCAGCGCCTGCTGGAGCTGGGGGAGCCACTGCGTTCCCGGGACACCTGCTTCCGCACCTCTGCAGCCACCGTCCTGCAAAGACAGAGAGGGGGCCATTGGGGAAAACTCAGGCAGTGGGGCTGACAGATTCCTGCTAGGAGGAAAATTCAACTTGTGGAAAGGAATAAATAGGCCAAGGGCCAAGAGAACCAGGAGTGCTGAGGCTTTAAGAGCCCCCAGCTCCCAGTTCCCCCAACCTCTTCCCCATCAAGCACAGATCAGGAGAGGGGAATGCTGCCACCAGTGGGGTTTAAAGCCATCACAGACTCCTTCCCCTCCCAGCTGGGCCTGTGGCCTTCCAGGTCTGGAGGGAGGCCCACAGGTCCCTGGCCTCTGTTCCCTCATCTGGGGGACCTCTGTCCACCCTGCTGTTCCCCAACACACCCAGCTCTGCCCCGGGACCCCATTCAGAACATACATCCCTTCCCATCCTTGCTTTGGGGCCTGGATAAGTCATTTCCACCTCTGAGCCTCAGTTTACCCATCTGTAGCTGATGCCCTGACTTCACAGGGTTACTGGGGAGGGCGGAGCCTGGGGCCTGGCCTGAAGTCACAGAGATCTTGAGATGAGGCCATTGTGTCAGAGGTCAACCTGGCCTGGGGGGCCCAGAACTGGGAGGCCTTTTAAGTAACCCCATGCAACCAAGGTGGGCCCTGGGGCCTTCCTGGGCCACCTGGATCTGAGCAGGCCTTCAAAATCAGGGAGGATGGCCGGGTGTGGTGGTTCACACCTGTAATCCCAGCACTTTGAGAGGCTGAGGCGGGCGGATCACCTCAGGCCAGAAGTTCAAGATGGGCCTGGCCAACAAGGGGAAACCCCATCTCTACTAAAAATACAAAAATTAGCTGGACGCCTGTAGTCCCAGCTAATACTCAGGAGGCTGAGGCAGGATAATCGCTTGAACCCAGGAGGTGCAGGTTGCAGTGAGCCGAGATTGCGTCACTGTACCCCAACCTGGGCGACAGAGCAAGACTTTGTCTCAAAAAAAAAAAAAAAAATCAAGGAGGATGGGGGTAAAGGGGCAAGACTGGCAGTAGAGGGGACTCTGCAGGAATGCGGAGCAGAACCAATGGGCACAGGGATGGCTCAGGCCTCCAATTCCTCTGGCTGAGCTCAGGAGGGGACGACAGAGAGCCACGCAGTTACCCGGGGGTAGAGGGTGCCCGGCAGGGGGCACAGCAGGTACAAAGGACCTGAGACTGGGTTTCATGCTTTGAGTGTGGAGACTCCCGCTCCGTGGGGTCTCTCAGGGAGAGAAGGCAGGAGCTAGGGCTGTGTGTCCCCCAAAGAGGGCCTTGCACGTACTAGGCACTCACTCCATTTTTTTTTTTTTTTTGAGACGGAGTTTCGCTCGTTGCCCAGGCTGGAGTGCAATGGCACAATCTCAGCTCACTGCAACCTCCGCCTCCCGGGTTCAAGTGATTCTCCTGCCTCAGCCTCCTGAGTAGCTGGGATTACAAGCATGTGCCACCAGCCCGGCTAATTTTTTGTATTTTTAGCAGAGATGGGGTTTAACAATGTTGGCCAGGCTGGTCTCAAACTCCTGACCTCAGGTGATACAACTGCCTCAGCCTCCCAAAGTGCTGTGATTAGTGGCATAAGCCACCGCTGCCGACCTACTTTTTTTTTGAGACAGGGTGGCTCTGTTGCCCAGGCTGGAGTGTACTGGCACGATATCAGCTCACTTCAATCTCTGCCTCCCAGACTCAAGTGATCCTCCTCCCACCTCAGCCTCCCAAGTAGCTGTGATTACAGTGTATACCACCAAGCCTGTTTAATCTTTCTATTTTCAATAGAGACAGGGTCTTGCCATGTTGCGCAGGCTGGTCTCGAACTCCTGACCTCAAGTGATCCGCCTGCCTAGTACATTTTTTTGATAGAATGAGTGAGTCCCGCTGGGCGCAGTGGCTCGTGTCTGTAATCCCAGCACTTTGGGAGGCCGAGACAGGCAGATCACGAGGTCAGGAGATTGAGACCATCCTAACTAATACAGTGAAACCCCATCTCTACTAAAAATACAAAAAAATTAGCCGGGCGAGGTGGCGGGCGCCTGTAGTCCCAGCTACTTGGGAGGCTGAGGCAGGAGAATGGCGGGAACCCGGGAGGCGGAGTTTGCAGTGAGCAGAGATCACGCTACTGCACTCCAGCCTGGGCGACAGACTGAGACTCCATCTCAAAAAAAAAAAAAAAAATGAGTGAGTCCCTTCCAGTCTTCTTCTACAACTTGCCCAAATCTGCTGAGTGAGGGAAAGCCCCAGGTCATCTGGCTGTGTGACTTTGGCCAGGTAGGATACCCTCTCTGGACCTCAGTCCCTCTTAAAATAGAGAAGCTGATTGCCTGGGTTTTCAGGTCTTACTCCCTTCTGCTTCCCAATTCCCTGTGTAATTGTAGATTTTTTTTTTTTTTTTTTTTTTTTGAGACGGAGCCTCGCTCTGTTGCCCAGGCTGGAGTGCAGTGGCGCAATCTTGGCTTACTGCAAGCTCCACCTTCCTGGTTCACGCCATTCTCCTGCCTCGGCCTCCTGAGTAGCTGGGATTACAGGCGCCCACCACCAGGCCCAGCTAATTTTTTGTATTTTTAGTAGAGACGGGGTTTCACCATGTTAGCCAGGATGGTCTCGATCTCCTGGCCTCATGATACGCCCATCTCGGCCTCCCAAATTGCTGGGATTACAGGCGTGAGTCACCACGCCTGGCCAGTAAATTTTCTTTTTTTTTTTTTTCTTTTTTTTTTTTTTTTTTTGAGACGGAGTCTCGCTCTGTCGCCCAAGCTGGAGTGCAGTGGCCGGATCTCAGCTCACTGCAAGCTCCTCCTCCGGGGTTCACGCCATTCTCCTGCCTCAGCCTCCCGAGTAGCTGGGACTACAGGCGCCTGCCACCTCGCCCGGCTAGTTTTTTGTATTTTTTAGTAGAGACGGGGTTTCACCGTGTTAGCCAGGATGGTCTTGATCTCCTGACCTCGTGATCCGCCCGTCTCGGCCTCCCAAAGTGCTGGGATTACAGGCTTGAGCCACCGCGCCCGGCCCTGGCCAGTAAATTTTCATAATAAAAAGTTGTGCTCAGCCAGGCACAGTGGCTCACACTGCTAATCCCAAGTTCTCTGGGAGGCTGAAGCAGAAGGATCACTTGAGGCCAGGAGTTCAAGACCAGCCTGGGCATGCCACTGGGTAAACTGGACCCTGAACAACATTAAAAGTAAATACACGTATCTCTCAGCCACTCGTGGACCTAGTGCTCACCAAAGAGCTGGGTTATCAACAAGCCTCCCCAGGTGGGGACAAAGTTGTAGGGAGACCCCATTTCTACAAAAAATTTAAAAATTAGCTACTCAGGAGGCTGAGGCAGGAGGATAACTTGAGCATGGGAGGTAGAGGCTGTAGTGAGCTATGATTGTTGTGCCACTGGACTCCAGCCTGAATGACAGAGCATGACCCTGTCTCAAAACAAAACAAAATAATTAACCCGGTGCGGTGGCTCACGCCTGTAATCCCAGCTCTTTGGGAGGCCGAGGTGGGTGGATCACTTGAGGTCAGGCATTTGAGACCAGCCTGGCCAACATGGTGAAACCCCATCTCTACTAAAAATACAAAAGTTAGCTGGGTGTGGTGGCACGCACCTGTAATCCCAGCTACTTGGGTGGCTGAGGCATGAGAATCACTCGAATCCAGGAGGTGGAGGTTGCAGTGAGCCAAGATTGCACCACTACATTCCAGCCTGGGCGACGGAGTGAGGCTCTGCCCCAAAAAAGGAAAAAAAAAATCGTATGGGTCAGAACCAAAACTTGATCATGACCTTCATACAATGTGGAGGTCTCTAGTTGGAGACCCCGGTCACCCTCCTCCATCCCCATATTCGATCCATTTTCACTCTTAACGGTCTTGGATTCTTGCTTCTACTGACTGGGGGGTTGAGAAAGGCACTTGTGGGGCATTCAAAGGATGTGAAAAATTAGGGCTTTTGTCTTGAAATTCCCAAAGTCGGGCTGCTGCCTCCAGAACCCTGGGCACACAGGGGCTGGGGGATAATTTACAAAAGATGCTGAGACAGGGGACAAAGCTGTACCCTGGTCCCAGCTGTTCTGCAGCTGCTGCTCCAGCGGAGGGAGAGGGGAGGAAGGACGCCTGGGCCTCCAGCTTCATTTTCCCCTCGGCCTTGGAGAGAGGCCCCTGCAGTGGGAAAACGCCAGGCCTGCAACACCACGGCCGCAGAGCCAGCTGACTGCATCACAGGACTCTGCACGAAGCCGCTGAACATGGATGAGTGACCATCAGTCTCTCAGCCTCAGGGTTCTGGCCACTGCCCACCTTCTCGAGCTGTTCTGAGTGTAAGGCTTTGTACACAGAAAGTGCTTAATTAGGGCTTGCTGCCACCAGGTTGTCTTCAAAGACAATCCTAGGCAGCTGGGATTTCCGACCCTGTTTTGTTTTTTGTTTTTATTTTTATTTATTTATTTATTTATTTATTTATTTATTTGAGACAGAGTTTTGCTCTTATTGTCCAGGCTGAAGTGCAGTGGCGTGATCTCGGCTCGCTGCAACCTCCACCTCCTGGGTTCAAGCGATTCTCCTGCTTCAGCCTCCTGAGTAGCTGGGATTAGGGGCGCGTGCCACCACGTCTGGCTAATTTTTTGTATTTTTAGTAGAGATGGGGTTTCACCATCTTGGCCAGGCTGGTCTCGAACTCCTGACCTCTGATGACCCACCCGCCTCAGCCTCCCAAACTCCTGGAATTACAGGCGTGAGCCACTGTGTCCAGCCTGTTTTTGGTTTTTGTGTGTGTGTGTGTGTGTTTTTGAGACAGGTCTTACTGTCACCCAGGCTGGAGTGCAGTGGTGCAATCACGGCTCACTGCAGCCTCGGCCTCCTGTGTTCAAGCAATCCTCCAGCCTCAGCCTCCCGAGTAGCTGGGACAACCGGTGCACACCACCATTCTTGGCTAATTAAATTTTTTTTTTTTTTTTGTAGAAATGGGGGTCTCACTATGTTGCCTAGGCTGGTCTCAAACTCCTGACTTCCCATGATCTTCCTGCCTCAGCCTCCCAAAGTGCTGGGATTACAGGTGTGAGCCACTGTGCCCGGCCTCTGACCCTGTGTTTACACCAAGGTGAGACATAGATGACAACCAGGAGAGTCAGGCATGTTGGCTCGCACCTGCAATCCCAGTGCTTTGGGAGGCCAAGGTGGGAGGATCGCTTGAGCTCAGGAGTTTGAGGCTGCAGTGATTGCACCAGTGCACTCCAGCCTGGGCTACAGAGACACTGTCTCTTACAAAAAAAACAAGGCGGGCACCGTGGCTTATGCCTGTAATCCCAGCACTTTGGGAGGCCGAGGTGGGCAGATCATCTGAGGTCAGGAGTTTGAGACCAGCCTGGCCAACATGGTGAAACCCCGTCTCTACTAAAAATACAAAAATTAGCCAGGCATGGTGGCACATGCTGGTAATCCCAGCTACTCGAGAGGCTGAGGCAAGAGAATCACTTGAACCCAGGAGGTAGAGGTTGCAGTGAGCCAAGATTGCTCCACTGTACTCCAGCCTAGGCAACAGAATGAGATTCTGTCTCAAAAAAAAAAAAAAAAAAAAAATCCATCTATAAGCCAGGTGTGGTGGCTCATGTCTACATTCCCAGCATTTTGGGAGGCTGAAATGGGAGGATCACACGAGGCCAGGAGTTCAAGACCAGCTTGGGCAACATAGCGAGACCCCATTTCTAATAAATACAAATGTACACACACACACACACAGAGAAAAAACCATCTGTGATTATTAAGCAAGGTTGAAAATATGCCAATCCAGCAATTCCACTCCAAGGTGTAGATACTCAGAAGGAAACACATGGCCAAGAATGTTGACATCTCTGACCATGACACCTCCAAAGTGAAACTCACATGTTCACTGACCAAAGATGGGGATAAAAATGCCCGAGGCAGGGGAGTACTACCCAGCAACGAAAAAGGATTGCAGGCAATGGCCCAGCTGAGCCTTCCTGACATGATGCTGAATGAGCAAAGTTGGGCACGTGGATGCAACATCCCATGATTTAGTTTATATGACAACCTAAAACAGGCCAGATCAGGTAGGGCTGCTGGCATGGGGGAGGGAGCCAGGAAGGTGGAGATGGTCCCCATGGAAATTGACCAAGTGGCCGTTTCCCTGCCCTTTGCTTTCTAATTATTCTTTGAAATTTCCACTTTTCTTTCTCTCTCCCTCTCTTTTTATTTTTATTTTTTTCTTTTCTTGAGATGGAGTCTGTCGTCCAGGCTGGAGCGCAGTGGCGCGATCTCAGCTCACTGCAACCTCCACGTCCCGGATTCAAGCGATTCTCCTGCCTCAGCCTCCCGAGTAGCTGGGATTACAGGCACCCACCACCATGCCCAGCTATTTTGGACATACAGGCCAAATTTTGGACATACAGACCAAAATGCAAAGAAACAGACAGCAGGCTGAGCACAATGGCTCATGTCTGTAATCCCAGCATTTGGGAGGCTGAGGCAGGAGGATCACGTGAGCCCAGGAGTTTGAGGCCAGCCTGGGCGAGATAGTGAGATCCCATTTCTACAAAAGGTTAAAAAGTTAGCCAAGTGTTGCAGCATACACCTGTAGTCCCAGTTACTTGGGAGGCTGAGGCAGGAGGATCACTTGAGCCTGGGAGGTTGAGGTTGCAGTGAGCCAAGGTATCACCACTGCCCTCCAGCCTGGGTGACAGCCTGTATTAAAAAAAAAAAAAAAAAAAAAAAGCCTGGGCGCAGTGGCTCACATCTGTAATCCCAGCACTTTGGGAGGTAGGCAGATCACCTGAGGTCAGGAGTTTGTGACCAGCCTGGTCAACATGGTGAAACAACCTCTCTACTAAAAATTCAAAAATTAGCTGGGTGTGGTGGCAGGCACCTGTAATCCTAGCTACTTACGAAGCTGAGACACAAGAATTGCTTGAACCCGGGAGGCAGAGTTTGCAGTGAGCTGAGATTGTGCCATTGCACTCCAGCCTGGGTGACAGAGCAAGACTGTCTCAAAAAAAAAAAAAAAAAAAAAAAAAAGAAAAGGAAAAGAAAAAGAAAAATAAACAGACAGCCATAATATTTGCATCCTCAGAGATGCCAAAGGTCTAAGACAGAATGCCAATTTACAGACAAAGATAATGATAGAACATAAAAATTGCCCAGCCGTTATGCCCCAGCCACCAGGTCTCTTCCCTCCTCTGCTGAGAACTCCCCATGGCTCCCACCTCACTTGGGGTCAAAAGTCAAAGTCCCCTGCACAGCCCACAGGACCCTGCACATTCTATTACTAGTGTCCCCCTCCAGCTCTGTTCCTGCCTCAGGGCCTTTGCACAAACCCTTCCCACTCTTCCCCCACAAACAGGTGTCATCCCTCCCTTATCTCCTTGAGGTTTTTACTCAAAGGCACCTGCTCATCCAGGCCTTCCTGACCCACCTCCTGCATCTCAAGCAGCCCCCACCCTCCCATCCCCCTTCCCTGTCTTCTTGTCCCCACAGCACTTGTCACTGACAGGTAATCTACTTGATCAGGCTTCTGGTCTTTCTCTGCTACTATATCCCAAGAGGGGGATCTTTTCTCTCCAGGAGACCAGCGCCCAACCCACAGGGCAGCTTTTTCACCTGGGGGCAGACAGGACAGTTCCCCCGGGGAGAGGATACCTTAGTTTCTGAACGCACCCTTGTCGCAAAGACCCGCCCCCGCCAACTGGGGGCGAGGCTTTTCAGCCCCAAAGAGTCTGATATCCCCCTCCCAGGCTGTGACTCTCACAATCCCCAGTGGCCACGGAAATGAATCCCCCAGCGCCTGGGGCCTGTCCCCTCCCTCGTCTGCCCACCAGCTGGTTCTGTCCCCAGCCCCCACTCCCTCCATTCAATCACCCATCCATCCCCAGTGCGGTCCAGCCCGTGCTGGGAGAGCCTGAAGCAGAAGGTGGGGGAGCGCCCACAGCTGTCCCCTTTCCCCCCCGACAGCTGGGCACCGGACCCTGGAGGGGGAAGGGCACAGGAAACTCCTCAAGGGGTTTCAAACGCCACCAAGGAGCCCATCTCTGTCCCCAAATCTCTGAGCCTGGAGCCCCAAACCAGGCACTGAGAAGGGAACAGAAAGTCCGGCCCACCCCGATCTCCGAGGGCGCGGGGACAGTGAGGGGCCAAGAGAGGCGGACGGGGCGCGCAGGGAGTTCAGGGGGCGCCCGGCATCCGCAACCCCGAGCCACCTCCTCCGCGAAGCCCTCCGGACACACCCCCGCGCGTCACGGAGGCAGAACTGCAGCCGCCATCGCGCTCCCAGCCCCGACGCGACTCCTATCTGGGACCCATGCCGGGACCCCCGCGGGCCTCCCCGCCTTCTCCCGCTCCCAGCCCCTGCCGGAGGAAGCTGGCGGGACGCGGATCGAGGCGGAAAGGGGTTTAATTGGGGGCGCCCCGGCGGGGAGGGTCACACCGCCCCGGGGCGGGGCCGGGCCACGTGGGGGAGGTGGGAGGGGGCCCCGCGGCCACGCTACCTGTTGATCTTGTGCGCGAAGGCGCGGCGCTCGGCGGCCGCCATGGTCCCCGCGTCCCGCCGCCGCCGCCGCCCCGCGTCCCGGCCCCGCCGCCGCCGCTGCCGCCTGCCGGTTCTGGGCAGCCGGGGCGGGGCGGGGCCGGCGCGGGGGCGGGGCCCTTCCGGGTGGCCCGGGCCGCTCCGTGCTGCCCCTGCCGGCCGGAGGGGTCGCCTGGAGTCCTGGGGGCTGGGGAAACTAAGGCTGGGGACGGAGAGGAGGCCCCGGGATCCAGGCTGGGTGGTCCCCAGAGTCCCGGGCTCGGGGGACGCTCTTTCTACCCTAGGAGAAGGGCTGGGGAAACTGAGGCTGAGGAGGGAAGTTAGGGAAAGGAGGCGCTGGGACCCAGACTGGGGGTGCCCCAGACTGCCCGGCTGGCGGGGCGCTCTTTCCACCCTGGGTGCTGGGTTGGAGAAACTGAGCCTGAGGCGGGAGGGAGGGAAGGGAGGCGCTGAGACCCCGGCTAGGTGGACCCCAGGCTCCTGGGGTTTAGTGAGGGGAATCTTCCCACCCCAGAAGCAGGGCTGGGGAAACAGGCTAAGGAGGGAGGAAGGGAGGGGAGGCGCTGGGACCCAGGCTGGGTAGGCCCCAGATTTCCGGGGTTTGGGGGGGGCGCTCTTTCTGCCCTCTGACTCCTGGCGGGAAAACAATAACGATGTTCACTTATCTAATAATCATGCCTGTAAGTATAATCGTGGCCGTGCATGATGGCTAACGCCTGTAATCCCAACATTTTGGAAGGCCAAGGCAGGAGGATTTTTTGAGCCCAGGAGTTGGAGACCAGCCTGGGCAACATAATGAGACCCCATGTCCACAAAAAATACAAAAATTAACCAGGCATGGTGGTGTGTGTCCGTAATCCCGGCTACTCAGGAGGCCGAGGGAGGAGGATCGCTTGAGCCTGGGAGGTCAAGGCTGCAGTGAGCTGTGATTGTGCCACTGCAATCCAGCCTGGGTGACAGAGCAAGACCCTGTCTCAAAAAGTCTAATTGCTAAGATGTCATTGAGCCTGGCTCTGCAGTTCACACATGCGGAAGAAATGATTGCTTTCCTCCATTTTGCAGATGAGTAAACTGAGGCACAGAGGTGTTCAGATGCTTGCTCGGGGTGACTCACAGGGGTCTCTGGCGCCTGCATTGTCCGTGCTCCCAGTCTAGAGCATGGGAGGCAGAGGAACCTGGCTAGGCACTGGGGTGCCAGGAGATGTGCCCCGGGTCCAGGCGGTGGGACGTGAGTGAGCCAGTTTGGGAGTCTAGACTCGCCGGGGCACCTCCACCAAGAGGAAGACGTGGGGATGTCTTGGTTAATCTATGGTCTCAAATCTCTCCCCACTGGTCTCTCTCCCAGCACCGCTGCAGCATTTTTAGGGAATTCTCCAGCCCACACGCCCCTCTGGAGGAGCTCACCCCTTTCTCACCTGCATGCCGCTGCACCGGCAGGTCCTTCCTCCTGGACAGTCCTTCTTTCCCTGGTCAGCAAATGGCCCAGGGAGAATTTGAGGTTGAATCATACAGGGCTGTGACTCTGCCTCAGGGCCTTTGCATGTGCTGTTCTCATTCCCATCTGTGGGTTGCTGGCATTTTGTTCTCTATTTTTATTTATTTATTTATTTATTTATTTGAGATGGAGTTTCGCTCTTGTTGCCCAGGCTGGAGTGCAATGGTGCCATCTCGACTCACTGCAACCTCTGCCTCCCAGGTTCAAGTGATTCTCCTGCCTCAGCCTCCTGAGTAGCTGGCATTACAGGCACCCACCATCATACCCGGCTAATTTTTTGTATTTTTAGTAGAGATGGGGTTTTATCATGTTGGCCAGGCTGGTCTGGAACTCCTCACCTCAGGTGATCCACCCGCCTCGGCTTCCCAAAGTGCTGGGATTACAGGCATGAGCCACCGCGCCCACCCCGAGTCACCATGCACCCCCGAGACACGGTTTCTTGCCTTGCTGCCCAGTGAATCCATGTCAGACCTTGAACCCACAGGAAGGAGGGCTGGATTGTAGGGGAACCCCCAAAGCCTGCCACTCAGACCCAGGATAGCATCCTGCTAGTCAGGCTGCAGTAGGGTTGCCCACAGCCTGGCATGTCACATGTGCACATAGCCCACGTGCCTGCCTGCAGTGGTCCAGCCACTTTGGCCAGGTGGAGCTCCGCCCATCACTCCCCATTGTGCCCTACCCAGTGTCCCCGCCTTGCCTCTCAGGCTGCTGGGAGCTAGGCTGGGCAGGAAACATGCAGATAAGCAAAGATTTGCACATTTCTCAGCCTAGTTCCAGTCCAGCCCCCTTTATATCCGGTCTCCCAGCTTCCTTTCTCATCCTCCCGCCAGCTTGTTCCTGCATCAGTGGCCAGGAAGAGCCTGCGAACACCTGCATCACATCAGGTCCTTCCTCTGTTCAGAACCTTCCATGGCTCCCACCTCACTCAGGGTAAAAGCCAAAGTCCTCCCACAACTTGGCTTTGTGGGGGCAGTGCCTCATTGTAATCTCAGCACTTTGGGAGGCCGAGGTGGGTGGATCACTTGAGGTCAGGAGTTCGAGACCAGCCTGGCCAACATGGTGAAACTCCGTCTCTACTAAAAATACAAAAAATAGCCGGGCGTAGTGGTGGGAGCCTGTAATTCCAGCTACTGGGGAGGCTGAGGCATGAGGATCGTTTGAACCCAGGAGGCGGAGGTTGCAGTGAGCTGAGATTGTGCCACTGCACTCCAGCTTGGGTGAAAGAGTGAGACTCTGTCTCAGAACAACAACAACAACAAAAACAACCAACAAACAAAACCAAAGTCCTCCCACAACCCACAAGCCCCAGCATGATCAGCCCTGTCACCTCCCTGGCTTGCCTCCTCCTTTTCTTTCCCTCATTCACTCCACTCCAGCCGCACCTGCCTCCTGGATGCTCCTCTAAACACCAGGACACAGCTCCACCCAAGGACCTTTGGATGTCCTGTTCCCTTTCCCATATATGGGTGCTGCCATTAGCCTCCTTTTACAGATAAAGAACACCCAGAGAGGGGATCTGAGGAACACCCGGAGGGGAGACTTGCCCTAACGTAGCCTAGTGAATCAGTATCAGATCCAAGATTTGGATCCAGGGAGCCTGACCCCAAAGCAGTTGTCTCTAAAGTCTCACTGGGTCTCCATCGGACCTGGCTGTGTGGCCCAGGATAAATTGCTCAACTTCTCTGAGCCCCAGTTTCCTTGTTTGCTCCCTGAGAAGTTCATGATCGGTCACAGCTGGAGACCCAGACATCAGGAGGTAGGTTGAGCCCTGGAGCAGCAAACTTCAGGGCTTTGACGGGGCCCATTCGCTGTTGAAGCCCAAGGGGGCTTTGAGCTCAGTGACTCCACGTCCTGCCTTGGTGGAAACGCTGCTTCAGAGATCGCTCCGATCAAAGGCCCTACCCCAGATGCCTCAAGCCCAGTACCCGCCCCAGTGCCTGCCAGACCTGACTGGTGAGGCTATTTCTCTCCAGGGCACCGCCAGCCCTGACTCAGCTGGGTGTGGCTGGAGTGCCCCTGACAGCTAATCAAACAGAGGCTGAGCGTGGTGGCGGGGACTTTGGCCTCCTCTGCTCTGCTGCGCGGAGAGCACGTTGTGGATGTGAGGCTGGAGCTGGTGGACCAGGGAGGAGGGGCTGTACTGGTCCAGGTCGGGGATGATAGGCCAGGATGGGTGAGGATACAGGGGAGGTGAGAAGTCGGTGAGCTGTGGGCAGATGGACTCACCGGTGGATGGACAGTGAGTCCATGTGCACGTTACGGTAAGAGAGGAGCCGAAAACCATCTCCTTCACCCACGCTGCCGCCTAATGCTGCTCCTTCCACCTGGAATGCTGTTCCACCCACTCCTTGTCTGCCGGCACCCTTCTTTATCCCTTAAATGTCAGCTTGAGGCCGGGCGCAGTGGCTCACGCCTGTAATCCCAGCACTTTGGGAGGCCGAGGCGGGCGGATCATGAGATCAGGAGATCGAGACCATCCTGGCTAACACGGTGAAACCCCGTCTCTACTAAAACTACAAACAAAATTAGCCAGGCGCGGTGGCGGGTGCCTGTAGTCCCAGCTACTTGGGAGGCTGAGGCAGGAGAATGGCGTGAACCCGGGAGGCGGAGCTTGCAGTGAGCTGAGATCACGCCACTGCACTCCAGCCTGGGCGACAGAGCAAGACTCCATCTCAAAACAAACAAACAAAAAAAATCTCAGCTTGGACATCCCTGCCTTTGCCCACTGCCTCCGCCATGGCGGCCCCAGTCATGTCCCAGTTGCTGAGTTACGTGTTTCTGTGGGGTTCCCAGCACCTGACATTTAGTAGGAGCTCCATAAATATCAACTTTTTGGTTTTGCTCTTTTTTTTTTTTTTTTTTTTTTTTTTTTTTTTTTTTGAGACAGGGTCTCTCTCTGTCATCCAGGCTGGAGGGCAGTGGCTCCAACACAGCTCACTGCAGTCTCCTCCTCCCAGGCTCAAGCAGCCCTGCTACCTCAGTTCCCAGAGTAGCTGGGACTATAGGCATGTGCCACTGTGGCCAGCTGATGTTTTTGATTTTTCTTTGTAGAGACAGGAGTCTCACTATGCTGCCCAGGTTGGTCTCAAACTCCTGGCCTCAAGCGATGCTGCCAGTTTGGCCTTCCACAGTGCTGGAATTACCGATGTGCCTTCTTCTGTTTTCCTGATCCGCTGCTGAGCGCTTGTCCCAGACCTCGCTACTGGAATCACTGTAGCATCATAATGTGCTTCTGTATCTTTCTGTGCTGGGTGCAGCTGCCTCCAGACCTTTGCACAGGCCATCCCCTCTGCCCAGGCTGATGGTTTCCCCCACTCCTTACCTGAACAAACTGTTTTTTTGAGACGGAGTTTTGCTCCTGTTGCCCAGGCTGGAGTATAACGGTGCAATCTCGGCTTACCGCAACCTCCGCCTCCCAGGTTCAAGCAATTCTCCTGCCTCAGCCTCCCAAGTAGCTGGGATTACAGGCATGCGCCATCATGCCCGGCTAATTTTGTACTTTAGTACAGATGGGGTTTCTCCATGTTGGTCAGGCTGGTCTCGAGCTCCTGACCTCAGGT